CCGCCCTTCACGTCCGTCTTCACTTCAGCTTTTCTGAGCGAGAGCAAGTACGGTGCTTGGGCCACAGACCCAGACCAAGCTGAACAGCTTTCCCGGAAGCCTCTGCCCTCCTTTAAAGTCCCGGGACCTGGATCCTCTAGGGTGCTGCTCCAGAGTTTATCCACCAAAAGTCCTTATAATTTAACAGAAGTGGCTCACACGACGTTCTGATCCCGTTTTCTAGATTGGTCCTTAGAAGAGAAAAAGCGGTAGGTAGGCTGCAAAGAGAAACCCGGTACATTCTAGATTAACGGGTAGAGCAAATGATTTCTCTCCTAAAGATAGTCCTTAGGCTTCACAGGCTTAAAACTGATGTGACATTTGGTGTTACATGGATATTTTAATTCTAATGTGTGAACATTCATTCCCGAAGTGTTTCTGTATTGAGTAGGAATAAACAACTATAGGACGTGGGATTTAAGAACATTTTATGGTGAACCCTTAGTCTATATGTATGAAGACAATAATTACTGCTAACTTGAAGTTTGTGCACATACGGATTTTTATACATGAAGTTTACTTCAAGGGTGGCACACGCCTATATACGTGGTGTTTAGCACTTTCTGAGAGAGTAAATAGTAAGATAGTGGCATGTATGTATGCAGGTAATGCTTTGATGAATAACATCCCGTACTGTCTTATTTTGAAGCCATTTGTGTCAGCCATGCCACTAAGAGCAGTACAATGCCGTCAAGTCATTAACCTCTGTGGACTGAAGAATCTAATCTGCAGGACGATGGAGGTGGGGTTAAGAGATCACCAAGTGTTTTGGAAGAGCCCTAGGCTTGCAATGAAAAGCTTTTTATTTTTTTTATTTTTTTTGAGACAGGGCCTCACTATGTAGTTGAGACTGACCTGGAACTCACTATGTAGCCTAGGTTGGTCTCAAACTCACAGCGATCCTCCTGCCTCAGCCTCCTGAGTGCTGGAATTACAGGCGTGTGCCACCACGCCCAGCACTGGAATAAAAAGCTTTTTATATTCCAGACTGGGCCTCCATAGCACCTGTGTGGTATAATTTTTGCCTCAGTTTTTCCATCTGTAAAAGTGAAGATAATGATACCATCTGAGCAGAGTTGTATCAGGATTATTTGAGAGACTGTGTTTGAAAGCACTTGAAAGGCTTGGCCTGGCCCAGAGCAAATACCCGATGTGCATTAGTGACTGACTATGCGCTCCCTTCCAGCACAACCCCAACCTGCGGTCTAAGCATGGGGAGGGGTGAGGGCGAAAGGGAACACTTTCCACTGGGGAATGTGTCCTGCCTGTCACATTCCTGAGGTCCCTTGTCTGCAAGGAAGAGCACAGTGGCCATTAGCAGACATTGACCTCTTCCACTGAGGCCACCTTCTGCAAAGCAAGAAACCAGGGATTAAGGAATCACCTTGGTTTTTCATTCGGACCATGTTTGGCATAAGATTAATTGAAGCCCATCTGTAAAACGGGGATAGAAAAACTAGACGAAGACTCAGACCTGGAAAAAAGAATTCAGTAATAACTTATTTGTACTGTTGCGTATTTGTACCTTTCAAATGTTTTCCCATTATCTAGCGGGCACTCCTGCTTGGCTGTCAAGTTACTACTGTCAGAGTTCCAGATCAAAGCATTTGGGGCCCCAGCAGATTGTTGGAGCTATCCAGGTGCTGGCTCTCAGGACCTCTGTCTCTTTTCTCCTCCAGAAAGCCCAAGACAGGGAGCAGAACAACCAGCCCCATGCCGGTGACCTCCGTGGAGGAGAGAAATGATCCTGAGCCACAACCAGATAATGGACTCTTTTCAAGACCCTGGCCCTTTCCTCCCCCCAAGCCGCCCAGGCTCTATAGGATGCAGCTCCATGGACCCTCTGTGCTAGAGTCCAAGGTGAGGGCTTTGAAAGAAAAGATGACAGCGGGTAAACAGGGAGTGAGCCCCACCACCCATGAACAATCATCCCCCAAGAAATCCACATGCCAACGAGTCAAGCCTGGGAGAGACCGGATATCAGAAGACTCCTCCCTTTCAGAATCTGTGGTGGTGCCCTATGTTCAGAACCTACCTGGTGGGCATCTGGGCAGCAGTGTCAACAAGGAAGAACCCATGAGGAATGGGGGCTCCAGGCCTCTGTCCTCTGCCCCTGAGCTTGAGTGTCGGAATGGGCAGAGCCCGTTGCCTCCAGAAGTGGTGTGGTTAGTGCCAGGCCGTGAGAGGGATCTACCACCAGGACCTGACTCTTCAGCAGAGAGCCCTAGCCATGGAGTTTCTCCAGGCTGTCCAGCAGAGCCTGGTCCTTGTAAAATCGCCTGTATCCCCAGCCTGAAGAAAGGAAGGCCAGACTCCCTTCAAGATGGTCTGGTTACGGTGGGAGACTTGGACAGCACATCCCTGATCCCTGAGAAGGCCTTTGTCCCAAGAACAGCCCCGCTGGGGACACTCTGGAAAGCTAGAGACCTGGGGACTCTGGGCATCGGGGGCAATGCCTTGTCCTTGACTGACCAAGTAGAGAGGAACCGCCTACTGCTGCAGGAGATGCTAAAGGTTTCAGAACAGAGTTCCCCCAAGGTAGCACCCCCAGCCTGGGCTCCATCCTGGGACAGAACTGCACCAGGTAAGGGTCGCTCTGTAGGTCTGAGTAGGGCAACAGGAAGGAGTCCAGAGGGAGGGACAGGGAAGAAGGTACTGTTGGAGGTGAACAGGAAAGGGAAGAGCATACAGTCACCTGCCACCAGAATTCTCAGTGTCCTCTTATTCTTGGTTTGACATAGGGTCTTTGCCATCTTATAGGCCTCCCTGCCTGCTGAAGACCTCTGAGTCCATGGGAGGCCACCATCTGTGCTTGGGAGTAGAGGCTACCATGACTTTGCCCTGTGCCTTGTAGCCCTTCCCTGAGTGGCTTTTTGCCTTCCCTCCAATGACATGGCCTCACACCTCACTGACCTCACTGACCTCTGGTGGGCGAGTAGTCAGGCCTTCCCTACAGAGGGCCTGCACATCTGGGCCACTTATCCTCCCACTGCGGGGAAGGTTTGAGTGTTCAGACCTGAGAAGACAGACTACTTTCATAAACTCATTCAGCACCTCATGCCTAAGGGTATGTGGGGGCCGCTGCGCCCACGGCCATGCTCACCTTTAGTGATCGTGACAGGTTGTGCCTCAGCTTCTCAGGCCAAGGTACAGGCATGGTGTTGGATTTATCTGGGGCATAACTTACTGGAAACCTCTTTCCTCAGTGTTCATTAAGTGGCTTCTTTTCTGATCTCTGCTTCTGTTCTGGGCCCTAGAACGACCAGCAGGGGACGTGGGCTGGGAATCCGGCATTTTCCTGCAGGACTCAGAGCAGAACAGGTAAGGACTCAGAGCCCACATTTTCTTTCCCTCCTTCCTCTCCACCCCTCCATTTACTCCACAGCAAGACAGTAGGAGACCTTGAAAAGGCCAGAGGGAAGGCAGAGCCCTGCATCCAGGGTTAGTGGCCACTGTGGCTCATCATCCACCGTGAGACCCTGTAGAAAGGGTCTGTTACCCTCAGTGCCCAGTGCCCATCTGCTACTTGAGCAAAGCCATGGGGCACAGAGGTGTATAAAGAGTATTGCCAACCACCTGCCTGTGTCCGGGGGCGTTCCCCCTGCCTGGGTCTCTGACTCTACGCTTTAAAGCGGGGAAAATTATATCTGGTTACTTTACAGGATGATTGTAAGGCTAAAATGAGACAAAGGGATATGAAAGTCCTTAGGGAAAGTACAAGATTGTGCAGCTTTTGCTCCACCTATTCTATTCATAATCAAGGGAGTATGCTAGGGCCAAGTCAAGAATTCCACCTCCAACCTCACTATAATGCCCACTGAATTTTCTATGCCTCCACCCTCGTTTTGGGATTCCCCGGGTTGTGGGGGAAGCGGGGATGCCTTCACAGGCAGAGTTAGAACGTGGTGGGTGAGAAAAGTACACTGAAGGTGTGGCAGGGGCCACTGTGGTCCTGAGCCGCTGCCGCTGCCCACAAAGTTTGGCATCAGCCTCCGTCTTTGCTGGGCTCTCTGCATCGGAGGCTGAGGGGCCCAGGAATGGGAGTAACTCCCCCTTCCCCAGTTGCCCTGATTCCTGCTAAGGGGAGAGATCAGCATTGTTGCTTCCCCATTGTGTAACTTACTTTTTCTCTCTTTGCTAAGACAAAATACCTGATACTCAAAGTTAAAGGGGGAGAGGTTTATTTCAGTCCATAATTGACTAGCTCCAAGGCAGGGTGGCAGAGGGGCAACAGTCATAGCAGCTGGAGCCTGCAAAAACAACAAGAGAAGCAAGAGGGCCATCACAGAGGAGAAAAAGGTACAAGGCAGCAAAAGCAACAAGGGACCTTAACAGCATCTTTCTGCCCCTTTTATCTTATTCAGACTACTTAGGGTGTGTAGCACTCACACCCTTAATCCTAGTGCCCTCAAGCCTAGCCCCGCCATGAGTCAATGACACACTCTAGATTTAGCCATCTCTGGAGAATCGTGGGGCTTTGGGGGGCACCTGAACACCAGCCATACACCCGTGATCAGGCTGCTCCCTGCATACATTCCACTTGGTTTGACCTGCTCACCAGAAAGTGTTGGCAGAGCCTCTGTTTTAGTCTGTTTAGGCTGCTAAAGTTTATCATAAAATACCATAGACTAGATGACTTGTAAACAACAAAAACATTCAGTGTTTCTCATAGTTCTGGAGACTGCAAGTCCAAGGTCAAGGAACCTACAGATTTGGAATCTGACAAGGGCTCATTTCCTGGTTCCTAGTAGCACTTTCTCCATGTGACCTTGCGTGGTGCAAAAGGACTAGGGAGCTCTCCAGGGTCCTTCTAATAAGGACACGAGTCACCCCCCAAGGTCCCACTTCCCACCCCGCTGGGGGTTGGGTTGAACCTCTGTGTTTGGCAGGGATGTAAACCATAGCAGCCTTTTGTAACAAAGCGAGGATGTCCAGTGTCAGGAGATTTGGCCTCTGAGCCATGGGTCTGGTTTGGCTCTCTCATCCCTTGTTATTCGTGACTTGGTCCCTCTGCCTCCATGTCCACTGTTCTTAGCCTCTTGTCACACATTTACCTGGCCCTTCCAGTGTTGGGGGAGGGCAGATGTGGCTGCAGGGAGGACTGTGGTCCCCAGGGACACTTTGCTCCTTTCCCTCTTTCTGTCTTCTCTCCTCTTCACTGCGGAACCTCAGAGAAGAAGGCTTAGTAGTTGCACCTGTGTCCTGGCGAGATGGTGCCTCTTTCTTCCCACCTTCCCTCTTTGATGGGAAAATGCCCCACAGGAAGGTGTGACCACTGGGATTCTACTCAATAGTCACTGTTGAAATGCAAATCCCAAAGCTCAACTTGAGTGCTGGATAATAATAAAAATCACTCATTTTATATTAGCATTATTATTGGTTTTTTGAGACAGGATCTTGCTATATAGATCAGGCTGGCCTTGAACTGACTATGTAGCCCAAACTAGTCTTGAACTCTCAGCAATCCTCCTGCTTCAGCCTCCTGAGTCCTGGGACTGCAGGCTTGTGCCACCATGCCTGGCAAAACCACTCATTTTAAAGGAGAAGAACTTGAGCCAGAGGTAGAGAAGGTCTTTCCTTTTCCCTGTGAAGAGAATGGCATAGGTGTAGGATCCTTAGGACTGAGATTTCTGGAGTTTTAACTTGCCAGGACATCTGCAGCTATGTTTTGCATTTTAGAGTTCAGGCAGGGTGTGTGTGTGTCATACTGTATGATTTGTCACATAGGTATGTGTACGAATATGTATGGGAGGCAAGGTCTTACTGAACTTTAGACCCTCTTCAAAAACTAACAAAATGTCCCCTTAGAGGTTGGAGAGGGTGAAGGAGGGCAGGGATATGGGGAAAAAATGAGAACCAAGATCTATCATGTAAAGGTACAAGATCTCAATAATGAAAGTAACTGTACTGTATATCTATAAGGTACCAATAAACTCAATTTTTAAAAATGTCCCCTTAGAATCACAAGCAGATCGGGTCCCTGCTAGGTAGACACCCAGGCTGAAGGCCCAGGGAACACAGACAGATTCAAGGAGGGAGAAGTGTAAGCTGTGTCATGATGTCCCCTCAGATAGGCTCCTTGTCTGGCTTTGTTCCTGAGTCTCCTAGGCAGACATTAAAGTGTCCTGAAGATAATACAAGGCTCCCTCTCTCCCCTAAGCAGGTGGATTTGTTGATGACAAACTTTGCAAGAGAGCTTTGAAGTAAGGCATGCTCCTGCCCCTGCCTTCTACCCCAGGAGGGCCACTCAGGGCCAAGTACAGATCTCAGGGTCTGTACTGAGGGGTGTGGGACCCTGGGCAGAGGAGCGCTCTGAGGTTGTGGCTGTATCAGGACGTGCTCTGGCGGGGATAAATGGTAGGGCTCCTTCCGGGGTAGCAAGCCCCTAGGTCTTCCCTGAGTTTGAGAAATGAATGGCCCTGCTCAAGTTCTGTGAGGTAGGTCATTATTGCAATCAAATAACCATTCCGAGCAAATATCTGGCCGTTCTTGTTATTGCTCTGCAAGGTAATAAGGAGTTCATGAAAGGACATTAGCTACAAAATCCAAGATAGTACTTGGGTTTGGGGACATGGCCCATTTTGCTACAGGGTGGTCCCAGGGAGTCAGCTACAGAGGGAAGCCACCTGAGGACCCAGTACTTTAACTGCTAGGGGTCAGATGCAGAGATCTCCATCTCCCAACTCCAGGGTTGCCCCTCTCTACTAAAAAGTGACAGACGACTCAGTCCTAAGGGTCTAGAACATCCTAGGGGCCAGGAAAAGGGCTGGGCTTGCCGCTGCTGTTTTACAACACTTAAGTGTTGTGCTAAGTGCTTTTCCTGAATTCTCACTTTATTTAATAACAAACTTTGTGTGTTCTTCCTGGTTTGCTGACAGAGGCCTCTCTTGGGGGATATCAAGTGACTGGCTCAGGGCTTGGAGCCAGGATTCACACCCAGGGCTGCCTGCTCCAAGGCTGTGCTTGGACCACTGTGTTGCATGATCACAATATCACAGAGACTTGCATGTGAGCTGCCGTGCCATCCAGGTATCAGTGTGATTCAGGTGGAATTGCCCTTTTCTGTTCTCACTGCTCACTGCCTGCACTGGCAAAGCCATAGCTGTTACTGGCGTTGCTCTCCTAGAACTCCCAGGTGCAGGAACTCTGCTAAAAAAAAAAAAAAAAAGCCTGGCAGAGGCAGGCAGGAGCGAGTGCGTGAGGGCTCACTGAGGCCTGGAACCTGTGCAGACCTGTGAGGGTCCAGATGGAAACTGTAGAGGACATTCCAGATGGATGAGGCCCAGAAATGCCTGGGAGAGTCTGAAATAGGAGGTGTGGATGATCTTATCGGACTAGAGGGCGGAAGGTGGACTCAAGCCACTTATGGAGAGCTCCGGAATTTAGATTTCAATCTGAATGTAGAGACATTTAACGGTCTTCCTCCTGCTGCCTTGCCTGCAATAGCAGCATGACCTCATCTCCTGGGAGTGTGGGCTGGCGCCAGGCCCTGTGGGCCTGTGTAACGTCGGGGAGTCTGGTGAGGGGCTGTAAATATTCTGGGTCACGGTCAGTTCTGGATCTTCTGTGCTCCTAGTATCAGGAGTTATGACGAGTCCTAGGGTGAACATGGGAGAGGAGATACTTCTGCCGCACCCCAGGACTTCCAGGGCCATAGAGGTAACTGAGGTCCCCCCAGGACAAGGGTATATCATTAAGTGGCTAAGCCCTGGAGGTCCACACTCAACTCCCGCCCTGCCCCTCAGACTCGTATATGCAGGCACAGAGGAGATCCTTTTACACTCCCAGCCCCACTGAGACTAAAATGAAAAGCAAATTAAACGTGTAACCTTTGCAAACAGGTAACTGCTCCCCAGTGTCTAGTGCCCTACACGGAATCAGTGCCACCTGGAACACTCAGGTGTATTGTCCCATGCCACGTCCTTGCTAGTCTCACACACACCATACACAGGAAGCTCATCGTGGTCATGGTCCAATAGAAAACTAACCTACCAGGCTTCATCCAGTGGGGAGCTGGGCTAAAACTCGTGGAAAGGAAGTCCTCCTCCCTGCCTTCTAGCGCTGAGCAGACCACTATCCCCTATCTAGGAGTGACCTGCTGCCACTTATGGCTACCTATGTCCCACAGCTGAGCATACGCAGTGCTGACCGGAGGGATATCCTCAGCCTCATGTACTCAGCAAGGACTTTTTCAGTCTTCGGGAAGTCAGGACAGAGCTCCTCTGCTCTCCACAGTACCCAGACCCCATTAAAGATGTCAAATCCCATTAAAGATGTTAAATGCTTTGTACCCAACCAGCAGCCCTTCTTAAAACTCCCAGTCTTTCTTCTCTATTGAGAGAAGGACCTGCTTCCTGCAGCTACCCACTGGCCTCCTCCTGACCCCTATCCTATGGAAATCCCCTTTTCATGAGTTCCTCTGAAAGGCTTATTTACTTATGTATTTATTTATTTATTTTTGTGGTAAGGGGATCAAACTCAGGACCTTGCACTTGCAAGGCTGGCAAAGCACCACTGAGCTAAATCCCTGGCCGATCAAAGGCTTTTGAAAAGTCCAGAGCAAAAACCATCAAGCCCTCCCTAGCTGTAGACATTTATGACTTCCAAACATGCCTTCCCCATTCAGACAATAGGGTGATCTAGTTGGCAGGTGATTTTACTTCATCTCCAGGGATCTCTTCCTTCTTTTAATAAGGGGTGAGATAACTTAATATAAAGTGGTGCTAATAATAAAATTAGTGATAATAATAACTACTAGCATTTACAGAATCTTACCAAGTGCTAAGCCCTTTGAAGGAAATCAGTCTCACTTATCTCTTATTTAGCAGGTGAGGAAACTGAGGCTTACCCCCCTAAGCCACCCACCAAGGCACACATCTAGGAAGTGACAGCCCAGGGATTTGAACTTGGACAGGCTGCCCCTGAACCACAGTCCTAACCAACATTCTGGCATTTGTCCTTTTAGTGGCCTGAGACCTGGGCAGAAGGTACCTGTGTAACGATGATAGTGACTACAAGACAAGGGCCCTTCCTGAGACAGCATGCAGTCCAGAATCGATCTGTAGCACACGGTTTTCTCTTCCCTCATTTGGGAAACTACACAGTGTGAGGGCTCTGTCCTTGGTCACCTGAAAGCTTTAAAACGTATAAAAATGGACACCAGGTATAGTGGTGCACACCTGTAATCCCAGCACTTCGGGAAGCTCAAACACTGGGATCACATGTTCAAGTCCTACCTGGGCAGCTTATTGAGACCCAGGGCTGAGGAAGTAGCTCAGTGTGAAGGCCCTACATGCAATCCTGTACTGACAAAACAAAAAACAAAAAATGGAACCCGTGCTAAGCAAAAAGGCTTGTATTATGTTCTGTACACTACATATGAGATGATAGAAAACTACAGTATTCAAATTTTCAAAAGATTACTACAGTAAGATACACAGTGCCATTAATCCTCCTCAAAATACTCCACCTTGCTTTGAACACACTTCCCATCTTGCCACTTTCTGAAGCAGTTCTGGAAGTTTTCTTTCATGACTATACTAGAGATAGCAAGATGTTCTTGTGGCTGCCTTGATATCCTGAAACGATTAAAAACATTTACCTTTCATGATCATTTTGACTTTAGAGATGAGCCAGAAATCCCACAGTGCCAGATTCTGTGAATAAAGTAAATGAGATACCTTGTAACGTTTTTAAGAGCCTGCCTATCTGCTGCATGGCACTTGCAGTAGCATTCACTGTATTTTTGATCATATGTCATAAAGTCATTCCCAAAAGTAGACTTCTAGAATTGCTTCGGAAAGGGATAGGAACAATAGGATGGGAGTATTTAAAGTGAGGGAGAGATTTTGAGGAGAAAATGACAATGTGACTTTTATTGTAATAAATTTTTAAAATTTAAACATTCACCATATATTTCATTCGCACTTCATATTTTCTCTTTACTAGTTGCATCCTTAAATCTGGGAAGTTAGTCTCTTATATCCCCTATTATTTCCTGATTTGCTTACTTGAGATGAAAGGGTTAAATCCAGACTTGCTGGAGTTTATGGATTTAATCAGGATTATAATGGCTGTAGAAAAAGGCCACTCTGTCTCCTTGACCTCCCTGACTAGGAGTGAAAGGGTGGTTCTCTCCTGACCTTTCTGACTCTGAGGGGAGGTGAAGTCCCTCCTCCAGGAACCTGGCTTAGGAGAGACCCAAGGGGGAGAGGACACCCCTGCTGCTACCCTTTGTCCTTAGGAGGCAGGTGGCTGTGGTGCAGAGGAAAGGGCCCCACTGCTATGGAACTCTACTGTTCTCCAACAATTAGCCCCCTGTGGGCTCTGCTGCTCCTTGAGGGCCCAGCTTCTGCCCTGTGGATTCCCCAGGGAGGGGCTCCCTGAGACCCCCACCCCACAGGAGGTGACGTGGCTAAAGACCCAGACTCACAGAGTAGAAGTTGGTCTGCTTGTAGACAGGGAAATCGAAACCCAGGGAGGAGAAGCACCCAGCCACTGTGCCCTTCCTGCTCAGCTAATGAGTTTCAGAGAACAGGCTTTCAAGACAGTGGCAAAGCTTTCTACTCTTGGGTAGGAATTGCCCTTACCTGGCCGTGTGCTGACAGCCAGACTTCCAGGGGAATTGTAAGACTGGGATAGTGGATTATGGTCTCGGATGTGAAGGGGTTGGCTCCATGGCTGTGTGCCCTTGGCAAAGGTGAGGGTCAGATTAGACTAGAAAGTCTTTCTAAAACTGTAGAGTCGGAATGCATCTGCCTGGAGGGTATGAATGTCCCTTAATATGTTGATGGCTCACTGTTCCATGCCTCTCTAGAGAAAAACCTCCTTTCCTCCCCAGGGCTGATCAGGACATCCCTTCTCCGGGGTGTGCAACGACTGTGGGCTGCCTGCTCTGCTGACCTTGCCTGCAGTCTGTGAAGGTGGCTGCCACTCTCTTGCCTACTCAGTATTACTGCATGGATGCCTCCAGGTGCCTAAAAAGCCTGCTTTTCTAATCAGTAGAGAAACTAGCTTTGTCTGCCAGAAACTGAAGCAGGGCAGCTGATGGAAAAAGAAAAAAAAAACAAAAACAAAAAGGAAAAATCAGCAACAGCTCCAAAAGGAAACAGCAAAGCTGGAAAATAGCTTAAAAACCTGGGGGAAAGTCTGATCCTGGCAGCATCTGGCCAGCTGCCTAGGGGCCCTCCTGCCTGCCCACCAGGCCTTGTGACAAATGCCCTCCGACAGCCGGGGAACCACAGCTGTCACCGGAAGGCTCCGAGTGTGCGGGCTGGCAGCCAGAGGCCTGCGGCGGCACGGGCACCTCTCCGGGCTGGTAACCTCATTATCTCTGCTGTCGGAGCAGGAGCCCCAGGGAGCACAGCTGCTCTCAGTCGCATGTCGGAGGAGCTGCCTGCTCTGGAAGCTGTGCAGGGGGAGGTCTCTCCTGCCAAACGAGGCCTTCCGGGGCAGCGGGCCTGGAGATTCACTTTCACCACTCCAGTGAAGCCCTTCTTCCAAAGCCCAGCCTGGGCCCTGCCAGGGTTCTTAGGCACAGATGGTGCCTTTATGCTAGCAGTCTCTCTCTCTCTGGCCCCAGAGTAGGATTAGGGGAAAATAATAAGAAGAAAAGAAAAAGAAAATCATAGTCTGCTCAGAGCTTGCTTGATCATGCCCTAAGAAGCCCTTCTCCCCGGAAGCCTCAGAGTTGTGCCTTTGTCCACTCATGTCTCTCGTTAGGAAACTACCCGGCACCTTCCTCTGGCCAGGATGAGGCCCACGTTCCCACACAGCATATGGACTAGGTTGTGTGGGCCACAGGTCTGAGACCCAGATCTAGCTGAGCCTCTGGCTGCCTGAATTTTCTTTCCGTGGGGGACACACAGCATGAATGTATCCTCACCTCCCTGTGAGGACATTGAAGTGACATCAAACAGCGTCTGACCTCAGCCACAGACACTGTGCTTGCTGTAGGCCCCAAGGAGGGGAGAGGACAGGGTAGGCCAGCCGGCGATGCTGGAGCCAGTGGGGCTGGCTGTCATCTGCTCGGCTCTGCTTTGCTTTTAATTGATGTTCGACCTTGAGCAGATGCCGGCTTTTCTCTCCGCACTGGACACCCTCATCTGTCAAGTGGAGAGAACACCTGCCCTTGGCCAACCTGGCTGGGGAGAACGAGCTCCACAGAGAAACATCTTGTCAGGGGGAGGTTGTGGGCTGCTGTTACTGCTGTAACCCGGTGCGGGCGGCATGTCATGTCTGGAGACAGCTTTGGAAGGGGGCATCTGTCAGTTCTGCAGCTCTGGACTGGCTGGGGCAGCCGCACATCTGGTAGGTGAAGCAGCCACGAGAAGACTCTTATTATTATGAAAATTGAGCCATTTGCCCACTTGGTTTGGGTCCAACTTAATTTCTCTCAGCCCTGAGTCTGTGAACCCTGCACTGATGCCTGTCAGATTTGGATTAGGACTGAGGCAAGAAAACAGTGGGATTTGTAAAAATGTCTTTCCCCCAAAGGATGGAACTACGAGGGGCAGCACCCGGGTGCCACATGAGCTCAGGGCAGTGCTGAGTGTGCCGAGTGGGTGTATGTGTGGGTGCCGGGAGACAGAAGGAGACAGGGCGGTGATGCGTGGAGAGACCATCTGTCTGGGCTCAGGCCCAGCCCTACACCTCAGGCCCTTTCCTCCTCCTCCCCCAGACAACTCCTGCTGTCTAGCCCAGGGAAGAAACAATAGAATAATCTGGAGACTTCCCTACCCTCTTCTAGATCCTCCTGTGTCTCTGCCTCCAGGCCCTGAGCAGATGTCCAAAGTTAGGCCAGCCCCCTATCCTTGGCTGGAGCCACTCAGGGCTATTCCTAGGCCCCAAGCTGGGCCACTTCTTGCTGTGTGGGAGCTGGAGTGGGGGAGGCTGAAAGTGCAGGGCTTTTCCTGGCAGAGCTGCTGCTCGACACTGTTAAAGCCCTCCTAATCCATGTTATTTTCTTCTAATCCCCCCTGCCTGCCCTGGCCTGTATGCCACCCTGTAGGACCTTTGGTCCCAAGCCGGAAGCTGTGCTGAGCACCAGGCATGAGGAAGCCAAACATTTGCTGCAGCATTCCCGCATGAAGGCCAGGACCCGGCCCCTGCGTGCCAGCCATGATATTGTGCCCACCATTGCTCCGGGCAGCCGGTAAGTGGGACCCAAGCCAGGCTGGCCTGGAAAGGCTGTGCAGGGAAGGATCAGCAGAAGAGATGGAATCTAGACAAACATGCCACTCCTCCCGCCTTCTTTCTGTATATGTTTTCTGTGTCAGGAACTTGCTATGACTGTTTAGTCAGTCACCAGCCCTTTATGAAGGCTTAGTGAGTATCACAAATTGAGATGCAAAGATGAATGAAATGTGATCGGGGGTCCCTGCAGACATGGAGATCACAGTCTTCAGGGAGAAAGACAGCCAGACAGGTTCTCAGTTCTGTGGACTATGGAGTAAGAGAGGAAAACTTGCATTTCGAGCTAGAAATCCATACCACGTGCAAAGGACAGGTGAGACTCTCCAGAGGAGATGGCTTCTCAGTTGAGGATTGCAGGAGACACCGGAGTTCACTGGGCAGATGAGAGCAAAGGATGGAAGCCATGGGCAAAGCACTGTGCAGCCAGGCTCGAGTGGGAGGTGTCGTGGGATATGTGGTGTGAATGCTGGAGAGCTAGCAGAGCCCTCCGCGAAGGCCTCTTGTGATGGGCAGGAGCTTCAAGGACTTGAAGCAGGCGAGTTACATGGTGGCATTTGCGTTTCAGTGGCGCCATCCTGGCTGCAGGGATATGTTCAATCCAGGAGCCTGGGACAGAGGAGGCTGCCACCTTGAGCCTGGTGGGAGAATATGGCAACTTCGGATGAGCCCCAGGATGTGGACACATGCTGATTAATGAGGCAGCAGAGAAAGAATAGCCTGGAACCAGACCACACAGATTTGCATTCTGGCTCTGCCACTTATTATCTGTTTGCCTTTGGGAAATCTGTGCCTCAGTTTCCTTATCCTCAAGATGGGAGTTATTGTAGCACCTATCTTCCAGGGTTGTTATGGGGGTTATGGGAGTTGACTTACAGAAGGTGTTTGGAGCAGGGTCTGGCACATGATGAGTGCTATCAGTCTGTTAGCTCAAGCTATCAATCATTTGATTACCTGGATGTGGGAGGCAGGAGGCTAGGAGGCATCCTTTTGCTGGGTGTTAGGAGGACCTAGCTAAGGGGCGACACCTAGGTACAATGTCAGACTTTGGAAGGGAGGTGCTCCAGAACATTCCCTGGGGATAGCCATCAGGCAGTTGGATATAGGATCTTTAGAGTAGAGATTTGGGTATATCTCTGACTTCATGACCCTGGAGCAATGAGGGTGAGCCCATCAAGGATGAAGATACAGAAAAAGAACAGGGCAGGGGCTTTCAGAGGTCAGCACATTGCACACATGATTGCGCCGGAGTGACACAGCCCACCCCTATCACTGTGCCTGTTTTTTATGTGGCACCCCTTAAAGAGATACACTTATGTGGAGCTCTGTGGCGCAGAGCCAGCCTCTGTGGTGCTCCTGGGCCTAAGAATAGGCTGCTGGGCCTTGCCAGATCTTACCAGGCCCAAGTAGGCCCCCCTCTGCACATGACAATGCCTGTGACTTCACTGGCATGGGGGGCACACTGTGTCTGCCCATCTCCATCTCCATGTGGCACTGGAGCAAGTGAGGACTCCTTAAAACTGGACCCTATGACCTTGGAATGCTGAGGCCAACCACTAAAGCTTAAGGACCTTCGTGGAAACACTGATGATTCCAACATGAGCAGAGGCCGCTGTGACCCTTAGGAGACCCTGAATCCTGATAAGGGGTGCTCAGCAAGCTACCCTTTTATTTCCACATTTTGTGCCTTATCTCTCCGTCTTTCAGAGAGCACTCATTAGGAATGGCATGGCTTCTTTGAAGGATCCTGTTCTACACATATACATGAGGAGAAGCCTTAGACTTCCAAGGAATTCTGTCCCACTTTCTATAGGTATCACACTGGATCAGGGAGCCGCAAAACAGTCAAGCCTCTGCAAAACACACCCCATTGCACAAATACTCTGTAGGACACCTCCTCTTATCCAAGTTGTTTTACCACCTCACAAGAGCCCAAATCTTTATTGTAAAGTAGGTTCTTTTTTCCTGGCCACAGAAATGCTATAAAAATGCAAGGTGACCCACTTTAGCAGCTGCTGTGTCCAGAAAAGAATTACTACGCCTTGGCAGTGCTGGTGAATCCTCAGAGGGTGTAGCTGAAAAATCCATGCCAGATGGCCTGCTGCAGCTGCTTCTAAAGGTTATGCTCCATCAGATTGCCCTGGAGGGCTGGGCAGAGTTAATACAGTGACACCACATGGGCCCCAGGTCTCAGTTAGATCCAGGAGCTACCAGCCTGGATGTACCACTTCCTCCAAAGAGCAGCTGGGCAAGATGGAAGAGGAGGGGCAGACAGAACAGTGTCTAGAAAGCATGTGTATGTATGCGCGCGCGCGCGTGTGTGTTACGGCCATTGAACCCACGGCCTCTGGACTGAGCTACATCCCTAACCCTTTTTTAATTTTTTATTTTGAGAAAATGTTTGCTAAGTCTGTTAAGTTTCCCAAGTTGCTAAACTGTTGAGCCTGTGCTTGAATTTTTCATGCTCCTTGGCCTCCCAGGGTATGTACTAGGATTTCAGGTCTGCGCCGCCACATCTGGTTAGGACACAAGCTTTGTGGCAGGAATGAGGGATGCAGAGCTGAGGAAAACATGGCCCTACCGTCTTAGAAGCATGCTGGAAGTAGACACCTTCTTTATCCAGGGCTGGCTGCAGGCACTCTGGGTGGGCTTGAGCATGGAGGCCTTTTCCAGGAGGTAAAGAAGGAGAGGTAGCTGCATTCCTACCCTACAGTCTAAGAAAGACTTTCTAGTCTAATCTGACCCTCACCTTTGCCAAGGGCACACAGCCATGGAGCCAACCCCTTCACATCAGAGACCATAATCCACTATCCCACTCTTACAGTTCCCCTGGAAATCTGGCTGTCAGCACACGGCCAGGTAAGGGCAATTCCTACCCAAGAGTAGAAAGCTTTGCCACTGTCTTGAAAGCCTGTTCTCTGAAACTCATTAGCTGAGCAGGTAGGGCACAGTGGCTGGGTGCTTCTCCTCCCTGGGTTTCGATTTCCCTGTCTACAAGCAGACCAACTTCTACTCTGTGAGTCTGGGTCTTTAGCCACGTCACCTCCTGTGGGGTGGGGGTCTCAGGGAGCCCCTCCCTGGGGAATCCACAGGGCAGAAGCTGGGCCCTCAAGGAGCAGCAGAAGCTAATGGTTAGAGAGCCAGTAGAGTGGAGAATCCACAGCAGAAGCTGGGCCCTCAAGGAGCAGCAGAAGCTAATGGTTAGAGAGCCAGTAGAGTGGCACTAAGTGGTACTGTCCTGTGTAAGATGGTGGCTGTGTGAGCCTGTAGAGCTTGCGCATGTCATACTGACTGCATGCTTAGGGCAGCACTGTTACAGAAAGTGAGACCCCAGGGAGTTGTGCCTACAAAGGCCACATAACTCCAGAGCTGGAACAGAAGCCTGACCTGGGACCAGAATCCTTTTCCTGAAGGGTGGTCGCTGAGGCCTCTGCTGGGCCTCAAGAAGCTTGACAGCCATGGAGTTTGCTTGCTGCTTGGCTGCCTCATGCACTCTGCTCTTGGCTGCAAAGTCTTCACCCCACTTTTCACACTGTTGCTAACACTGCTGGGGTACGGTCATAATAATCAGGTTAATGACACCTTACATGATTAAACTGTCCTTCACTTTTCCTTTTAGAATACAAATGTGGCTTCTCCCTTTAGAATGAATTCTGGGATGGCTCAGTTCATGATCTTGTATGTAAAGGTTAAGGCCATTGTTGTGGCTTACAGGATCTGATTCCCTTTTGTGTTAGGGCTGTAAGGCCTTGAACACTGGCCATAGGGCCAGGTTTTTTTCTTACCAGAATTCATTGCCCATATCCCTCCAACTGCGCAGGGCATTGGCCCTGGGGCCTGTGGAGAAGGGGGTGTAAGTATGTGCAGAGTCTCCAGTGGGCCTTGCTTGTGTGAGATGGACCTGGCTGGCAGGGTGTCCTGCCTGAGCACCGAGGGTAGGGCTGCTGCTTGTTGGCGACCTCTAGTTTCTCGGGGATGAGGTTGCTACCTCTCAAAGTCCCTGCGGGCTCAAATGTCCCTGAGTCTGTGAAGGCAAATGAATGGTGCAGGTGGTCTCGGAGGCCTTCACTCACTGCCCTCTGGCAAGAGTCAGGCTTCTCCAGAGAAACACAACCTCCAGCACGTGCACACAGGGGAATTCACTCACACACCTTTTGGAGATTGGTAAATCCAGCATCTGCATAGTAGGCCACAGATGGGAGACCCAGGGAAGAGCAGCAGGTGAGACCAAAGGGGGTCTTTGCTGGCAGAATTCCTTTTTGCTCCACTGAGGTCCGTTTAATCTCTTAAAGCACGAGGTCTACCCACATTATGCAGAATGATCTACTGTATTCAAAGTCCATCAATTTAAATGTTCATCCTAGCCCTTTAAAAAAAAATCTTCATAGAAACTTCCAAGATAGTGTTTACTCAAGTATCTGGATATTACAGTCAAGTTGACACGTAAGGCTAACAGTTCCACATGGAGTCTATACAGTAGGTAAGTTTTAATAAATAGGAGTCAGATCCAGGCGGATGAAGGAAGATTCCAGGAAACAATGACAAGAGGGCTGCATGAGGTGGACAAAGCGGGCAGTGTGGAAACCCTCCCAGTGGCTGGTGGGGGAAAGAACTGAAGAGGAAAGTAGGATTGTGAAGGGTCTGTCTTTTCATCTCAAAGACCATCCCCCTTGTCCTGTGCCCTCTTTGGGGTGGTGTAACAAAATCTACGTACCAGGAGAACCTGCAGAAAGCAGGTGGTTGGAGTGGCTGGATAAGAGGCCATTGTAGGATGAATGCTAAAGAAATGATAAGGGAAACTAAGGGGGTCCCCCAAACACTGAGCAGTAGGATGGTGGGGAGGTGGCTGGAGGGAAAAGGCAGGGTAGAGTACAAGCTTTATTTAAGTGGCTTTCGGTAGGAAATAACCTATGCGCCTGGGCTGTGTGCACAATGATCCAAAACTCAGGGTATGGTAGGCAGTAGCTTCTGAACTGAGCAGCTTGAGCTAATACATGTGAAGACTGCCCAGCCCGGCAGTGCCGTCACAGCCAGAGTAGGATAGAAGTGTGTGAGACAGGCCAGGTGTGTGTGGGGGGTGGAATAGTCAAGACCCGGAGACTGAGGAGGCAAATCAGTGCCTCCATGTCCAAGCAAAGAGATTAGGAATACTGAGTGGAAACTTGGCTCAGAAATGCTTAGCATGCTGGGTGCTGTGCAAGATTGAGGCCAGGCTGGGTAACTTAGCAAGACCCTTTCTCAAAATAAAAAAGGGCTGGGATGTAGCTAAGCACTCTCTGGGTTCAATCCCCCCAACACACACACACACGCACACACCCCTCACATATAAAATGTTCGATACCTTCTTCAGTACAGTCCTGAGTTCAGTAACTCTGGCTGAGAAAGGCAAGGAAAGGTCATGTTGATTTTATTCAGCACTGTGTGCCAGGAGCAGGGTGGGCTGGTATTCTGCGTGTTTACCACTCAACTCCCCAGGAATCTGACTTGGGGTGGCCTTGTGGGTTGTACCCCCACGGAGCACCAGGGCCGATGCTGTCTTTCCACCTGTGACCACTGCCTCTCCTGTCCTTGACCAGAGATGGCCGGAGAAGTCCAGCCCTGGGCCCCAGGACGACCTTCGCCTGTGGAGACAGCCTCCAGAGCGGGAGCCCGACTGCCCCTTCCAGTGGGGAGTCCAGCAGTGGGCAGTGGCCCAAGCGGGGCCTGTCCCCATCGCACGTCCGCTTTGAGGATGAACCTGCGTATGAAGCTGAGTTCCGCCACCTGAAGCGGCTGCAGCAGTACCAGCACCAGGTGCTGAGCACAGTGCTGCAGGCCGCGGGCCAGGGCCCCCTGCGCTCCAAGCCGGACCTTGCAGACTACATGAACCAGAAAGTAGCGATGGGCACATTCCACAGGCTCAGGGAGAGCCAGGACCGCAGAGGCCACGCTCCGCTACCACCCAGCGGGGCCAGTGAGAGGAAGTTCCAGGCCTGCAGCCACTGTCCAGAGAGCCAACGCCCAGACCCAGGGGTCCTCGAGGAGCTCCAGGCTGCCTGTGGGGTGGAGGGCACACTGTGTGTGTCCCACAGCTCCCGTGGCCTGAGTTCCCCATTCCAGCTCCTCCTTGCTGAACCGGGGCTCCACACAGAAAGGCTCCGGGAAACACATGCTGGAGAGACCACCACAAGCCCTGAGGAGGGGGACTCTGCTCTGGATAGTACGGACACCTCAGATGGCTGCCGGACCGACAGGGAGGAAGCCGGGACCTCTCTGCCCAACAGAGCAGGCAGGCAGACTCGAGGCAGTAATCCCAGACAGCGGGACTCCAGGCCTCAAGGAGGCCTCAGGTGGTCCAGGAAGGCCAAGACGGAGCTGCTGTGCGGCCTTCAGGCCTGGCGTCACTCGCTAGGAGTAGACGACATGGAGGTGGGAGATGAAGTAAAAGAAGTCGCAGGACACAGGCCTGTGGGGACTCAGTTTCTGAAAGAAGATGCTGTCCCTAAGCCTCCTCCCTTGGAATCTGAGATGGCTTTCCTGGGGTCCCAGAGGCAGCCTGGACCAGGGCTGGGAAATAACCAGGCTTATCCTGTGGACTTCAGGGCTCCATGCAAGCCACCCTCTTCTACAACATCTTCCATGAAGCTAGCACCTTCCAGGTCAGGCAGAGCAGACCAGGTTACAGAAAGCCATGAATATCTGGAAACAGTTCACACTTCCTCCCTGCAACAAAATCATGCACATCCCACTGCTTCCAACCCAACCCTGCAGCCAGCCACTTCCCCTCCCCCTGAAGGCTGGATATCATTAAGAGCCACCTCCCCTGTGTCTCATAGGAATGCAGGGATGGCTGGACCCTGCAGGCCAGGGGAACAGGAAGAACCTGTGGGTATCCCCTTGCCACTGTCTCCTCCAAGAACTGTGGTTCTCAGGACCTGTGGGCTCAGTCCACCACAGACCCAGCCCAGCATCCCCCAAGTCAGGCACCCACTGCTGGGCCTATCTTCCAACAACCGCAACAGCTGCATTCCTGTGGGGCAGCAGGAGCCCTGGGAAATGGCTGTCCACAGGGGCAGGGAGGAGAGGGACCCCTGCGACCAGGAGCCAGATCCACCCTTGGAAAGCAGCAGAGATGGTAAGGCTTGCAAATGGTCCCTGCTCAGCCCCAGATCAGGCGTATGACACTCACAGTGTTCCGTCTTCACTTACGTATCATCTTAATGGCCAGATGACACAGGCACACACCACTCCCTGCAGCCCCTAGGAGCCAGTCAGAGCAGTGACAAGGGTTGGGCAGCTGGTAGAATCTGGGCTGGATACAGGACTGTGGGGAAGGAGGTGGAGACACCCCGCTAGGGTCCTGGGAACCCCAAGGTATGTATGAAGCTGGTGCAGAGCTCCTGCAGGGTGTGGCAGGGCTGTCTGGCCTGAACCGTGCTGACCACTGCCCTGCTGGGCTGGCAGGAAGGTTTCACAGGCAAGGCTGCTTAAGGGAGTAGGGTATGACTTCTTTACCCTAGGTGTTGGTAGACCCACGTTCGGGTCCCAGGTGACCAAGTAGACCGCTCACTCCTGGGCAGAGGTGAGGTAACAGGCCCAGCCCAGACAATAATGACCTTGGTGAGGATGCCTGCCACTGTCCCTCTCCCTCCATCTCACAGTAACTCCAGGGAACTGTCCTGGACTAAGGTGCCTCTCACCCCCTCAGCTATGGTTCCTTCTCTCTAGGGGGCTTAGGCTGGGGGCTGGCTTGCCCCTAACCACTCCCTGCAGGACTGTCCTGAGGCCTGGTGACTTCTGGGCAGTGCAGGCCTGCACCTCGAGCAGGGAGTGAGGTGAGACTCCTCTCCCTAGCTGTGAGGCGCTGAGCGAGTTGCTTCCTTCCTCAGTGCTCCATCCCCTCCTCTGCCAAGTGAGGGTGGGAGAAAACCTGTCTCATGAGAAAGTCATGTGTCCCTCTTGGTAGGGGGAGTTAACGCAGGGCCTAGCATGTAGATGTTCCCAAAATGGTGTTATTGTCAAAGCTATGAGAAATTGAGATTCTGTTCTGTCCCAGGAATACAAAATATTCCCCTGTTCTACTGTGTCACTTGATATAGAAGGGGCTTGAGTTATCACAAGCAATCTGATCATTTAACAGAAACATACTAATTGTGTACTAGCTGCTGTGCTGGGGTGGAAGCAGTCACAGGACCCAGTCCTCAAATAGTTTCCAGTCCAGAGGACACTCGGGGAGGAGCCCAGAGTCCCAATCATCTGCTGTTTCCTGTGTCTCTCCACTGCCTCCTGGGCTCCACCTCTCACTCTTTTGCTTCTGAGCATGGAGTGTCCTTTCCCCCACCGTGACTGTGGGAGTGACCAGCCTCACACAGGAGGGATGCTCTGACTTTCAGGAGGACACCAGGGCCCTCTTGGCTTAGCAGATGTTGCCACCTTCAACTCCGTGGGCATCACCCTCACCCTGACCTCAGAAGAGCCCGAGTCCTGCCAGGAAGCTGAGGAAGACCTGCAGAGGGCAGAGTCCAGTTCTGGGAGGCACATGCTGTCCGGGTGAGTGATAGGAGCAAGAGACCTCACCATAGAGGAGGTGCTTGGTGGGGATGACCTCTGGAGTGGTAGCATGACTGACCTTGCTGCTTCCGCTAGAGTTCAGAGACCATGTCCAAGCCTGGCGCCCCTAATGCTTCTTTCCCAGCTCTTGGTCTGACATATCTGCTTATCCTTCACTGAACACCCCGGAACAGCCACTATCTGAGCATGGGGCACAGCTGTCTCTGTCCTGCCCTTAGGAGCTTGCCTGCCTGGGAGCATTTGCTCCAGACGCTGAGCTTGGGAACATCCAGATGCTGAGGAAATTGAGCTCAGCATTCATGTTTCCTTTCCCTCCTTCAGCTGAGTTCTTGCCCTAGGGACCCCCTTGCATTGGCCTCAAAACCTTGGTGAGCCCAGGCCTTCTCTTCCCTGCTACACCTCCTCTGCCCAGTGACCACATGCGGTCCAAGGCCCTCCTGCCACCCAGAGCCAGCTCCCCATCTCTGGGCCTTGTTCAGCCAGAGCCTGCTGGATACTGCCAGGCTGGCCGGTAGCTCCTTGACAAAAACTGCTGCATCCATCCACACCGTGCCCAAGCCCTGAGGCTGCCCCCTCACGCCGACTCCCACCACCAGCAAGTCCTTGCCAGCTCCCAGTTCCCCCTTCCCACCACCCCAGACTAAGCTGCTTTCCTTCTTCGCTGTACACCCTGACACGGCTCTCTGTTCGCTCTCTGCCTTCACTCTTGTCCCCTGCTGTTCCTTCTCCGCACAAAAGTCAAGGCCATCTTCATTGTTTTTGTTTGTTTGTTTGTTTTGACTTGGTTTTTGAGACAGGGTCTCACTATGTAGTTGAGACTGACCTGGAACTCACTATGAAGCCCAGGCCATCACATCTTGCCTTGTCTGGTGCTTCCCCCAAACCCCACTCCAGATCTCACTGCCTACGCCCAAGCCCTGTGGCCTGGCCTTTGTTCTTGAACATAGCAAGCCTGCTGCTGCCCCGGCAGAGACACTGACTGCTCCCCGTACCTGCCGCTGTCACCTCCTGGTTTGGCAGCCTGACTCCTGCTTACCCTCCAGCTGTCAGTGTAAGGGTCATCGCAGAGAGACCTTCCCTGGCCTTTAATTAAAACAACCACCTGGTCACTCTGCTTCACCCCACATGCTAGTCGCTGATGTTTTTCTTCCTCTGCTGCCTGGTCTCTAGTTGGTAAGCTTCTGTGAGCAAGGGCCTTGCTTGTCTTATGTGCCACACACCCAGGGACTAGAGAGGATGGTACACAGAGGCTCTTAGGAAATAGGGGACAACAAAAGAAAGAAATACGGAATGTGAACCAGGTGTGTGGCACAGGCCTGTAATCTCAGCACTTGGGCAACTGAGGCAGGAGGATCACCACAAATCTGAGGCCATGTGGTGAGTTTGGGCTACACAGTAAATTCAAAGCCAGCCTGGACTACATAGCGAGACCCTGTCTCAAAAACAAGACGAAAGAATACAGAATGAGCAAGGAAGTGAGTGAACGGGCAGCCCCCAGCTGCAGGCTATGGCTGTGCGTTATGACAAGGCCTGTGTGAGATCCTCTCCCTGGAAGCCTCCCTGAGAGAGTGCACGCACCCTTCCTTCCTGCAGCCTGGTTGTCAGTTCCCCACAAGGCACTGGTGCGGACCCATCTGGGACCTGTGGGACCTCGGGGTGCAGCAACCCGCCCAGCCCTCCCAGCCCGCTCCACCACAGCTCACGTCTACCGTTGTGTTTTAGAGCATTGCCAGGGACCAGAGCAGGGGCCAGCGCAGGGCCCAGGCCACCCTCAGCTGCCCCTTCTGACAGGCAGAAGAAAAGGAGCAGCATCGCCTCCACCCTGGGACTGAAAAAGCTCTTCTCGGCCCTGGGTCAGACTTCCCGGCCCAAGTTGGGCAAGTCCCGCAGCCGCAGCGTGGAGCACCTGCAGCCTGATGCACCTGGTTCGGCCTCACACACCAGCGCCCCCAAAGTAAAGAGAGCCCCATCATTACAGTCCTTCCATCTGGTGAGTGCTCAGGCAAGGGGCACCAAGGAATGAAGGGCGAAGGGAGAAAAGAGGCACTGAGGACTGTCCCAGGGAGCCCACGGTGGGAAAGGGGAGCTACTGGCACACCCACGGCTGGATGGGAAGCACCCCTGAGTTCCGTCCTACCCGGCTGCCCAGGCCCGGGCTCACCTTAGGCTTCTCCTTCCCTGTCTCTCCATTTTTCGAGCTCTGCTGGTCCAGGAGAGTTCATGGCCTCCTGTGTGGCCATAGCACAAATCGCATCGCCCTGGGTTTGCCTCAGTGCCCCTCTCCGTGTGGCTTCTGCGGTGGTCTTTCTGGCTGCACCAACCCCTCACTGAATGTGTCATTGGTTACTCACCACATTTAGGGTGAAGCTGAGAGTGCCCTGGGTTGCCAGAGAGCTCCTGGGAGCTGTTTGATCTCTCATCTCTGTCACTGTGCTGTCAGGTCACCACATCTTCAGGGAAGCATGCCTCCCACCTGCTCCACCTGCCCACACCTGCTCACCTATCTGGACTTCAGGCAGGACAACCAGGCCCTTCTCGTGCTGAACATGTTGCTAGCTCGCTCTGCTTCCCTCCTTTGTGGAACTCGTCACCTAGTAGTTTAACCAACTTTTGTCTCTTCCCTCACTGGAGTGTAATTCTCTGAGGGAGCATTACCTGACCTTTATTTTCTCAGCACTAGTTACAGTAGTTAGCGTGGTACACATTGAGTGGAAGAGTGAGCGTGGTGAACACAGGGCAGCTAGCTAAATCCTCACTCCCTGTGTGCCGCAGCCTCGGCAAACAGGCACAGCAAGGAACTCTCCAGCAGGTCTCTGGAAAGCCTGTTCCAATAGTTTCCAAACAGATTCCTCTGTCTCCTGTGTCTCTTCTTGGGCAAAATGAGGTAGGTGACTGTGAGTCGGGGCAGTGGAGCCTTTCCTTTCTGAGGCTGCAGGGGGAAGAGGATGTGCCAGGGTGAGACTCCCAGGAGAAAGGATTCCCAAGAAGAAAGGAGACTCTGTCCACATAGAAGGATTTCTGACATACCTCAGAGCGAGACACTCCCTGGTCACGTGTCATGGTAGCACATGTTCAGTGACAGGTGCTTCACCGGTTTGGTTTTTGTTTTGTCCCCAAGTGGGCAACCACCTGCCCTTACACTTGTCCATCCCAGTGGCTTTCATGTCCTCTTGTGGGCCGTGGCTCTCCCCCAGGGGCCTCCGAGCCTGTGTCAGAAGCCTTCCCTTCTCCCCCATCCCCGGGAAACTTCTGCTTGTCCTTTAGGTCTGACTTGAATGTGACTTCTCCCAGGAAGATTTCTTGGGTCAGATACACAATCCGGTTGGCTGCCTCTTAGGCTGCTAGATAATACAACTGCCTTTTTTAGAGCACTTCTCAGGCTATTTGTGCTGCTGTAACGAAATTTCACAGACCAGGTCACTCATAAGCAACAGAAACTTATTCCTAACAGTTCTGTAGGCTGGCAGAGCCCAGGATCAAGGTGCTGGTGCAGTCCGTGCAGGTGAGGGCTGACTTTCTCATGGGTCCCTGTAACCTCACACGGTAGGAGGGGCAAAGCTCTCTTGGGTATCTTTATGCCCCCCGAGGCTCTGCCCTCATGATCTAATCTCCCAGAGGTCCCACATCCTTGGTGACTAGGTTTCAACATATGAATTTGGAGGGGACACCAACATCTGGACCATAGAAACATGGATTCCAGACATAATAGATAATGTGGCTAACATCTGTCTAAAAGTCTGTTCTTCCTGCCTCTGTCTCCACCGCCGCCAACCCTGCCTTCAGAATTGCCTCCTTACTGAGGAGGTTTTCTAGAGCACAGGCTGACCTTGCCCCACTTGTTAACATCACTCACTAGCCCCTTAGCAGGGCATTAAGGTCCTTCAGGGCTGGCCCCTACTCATGGCCCATTTTACACCCCCACGGCCTCGCCACATGTGTGTGAAGCCATGAAGAAGTGAGAGAAGGCTTAGCGTGCTCCAGAACACACACCCTTCTCTCGCCTCTCCATGGCTTTGCACATGCTGTGCTTCTGCCTGGAAGACTCACATCTCTTTCTACCTGGGGAGCTCTTGCTTGTCTCACCCTAGTGCCAGTTCCTCCAGGGTCCCCAGGCCTCCTAAAGTGAAGTCTCTGTCCCACACACCATCTGCAATTTTAACTGAGCAGCTACCACAGGAATCTGGAGTTTCCAGCTGACCTCGTCTCTGCTCTCATCATTTTTGAACTCTTTGAGGGACTGTTGACATGTTCCACTTTTTATGGACAATGTTTTAAGGTGCACACCATACATAAAGATTTTTGAACAGAAGTAACCATAAAAGGAGCTCTAAAAAAATCATAAAATATTCAAGATTTTAAATTTAAAGTGTGCTACTCTGTAATTGACTTGCTTTCATTTTCTTCTTAGTAAGAAAATTAGATTTTCCTACAGTAATATAATTAGTGTTTTAATACTAAGTTGTTATTTTGGCTAAAATTTAAAAAAAAAACAAAAACGTTGACCTGTGTAGGCCCCTCTCCTGGTGTAAGTTCAAGTGTCCTGCGGAGCACTTGGAAAGAGTGACCCAAGCTGCCCCTGGGGTTCCTGGGGCCATCTTCTGCCAACCCCTGCCCAGGTGGCCTTTCTCACCTGCAATATTGGGCTTTCCCCACCAGGTGTCATCCTCCCGCCAACATCAGAAAGCTGCCTCCTTTCAGAACCTCCATTCTCTGCTGAGTGGCAGGGGGAACCGGTCCAGCCTCTACCTGGTAGAGGGCCCAGAGTACCCCAGTGCACCTGGCAGGTAAGCATGGGCACAGATGCTCTGGAAGATAAATTTGGGGGGTGACCAGTGGAGCTAAATGTTAGTTCCTTGCTATCTCAGCATCACTGTGCTCTTGAAGTGGAGAAGCTAGGTGTGGTGGCATCTCACACTGGGAGGCTGAGTCAGAAGGATCCCAAATTTGAGCCCAGCCTGGACAACTTAAGATCTTGTCTAAAAATAAAAAGGGCTGGGTGATATAGTTCAGTGCAAAGGGTTGGGGCTCAATCCCCAGTATTATAAAAAAAAAGTCGGGGAGGAGGTGAAGCACTACCTGCACCTCTCAGCAAATCCCAGGAGACAGGTGGCCTCGGAGTCTTGGAGTGACCGCTTAGTGCTCTCGCCCTGTGCTCAGAAGGTAAGGTTGTCGCTGGCTGGCAGGTTGGAGCCTCTGTCCTTCTGCTGTCTGGTGATGTCCTGAAGTCAGGAAGTTTGAGGAGCTCTCTTAGCCCAGCTGAAGATGTGGATAACACCCAGAGGCAGAGCCCTTGACCCATGGCCTCTGCCGAGGCCATCTAGACCAGCTGCTCTTACCTGCCGACCTCTGGATGGACCTGGAAACTATGAAGTTACAGCTTTTGTCAGATCCCGGAAAGGCTCTACATGAAAGGTTTAGAAGCCGCGCTCTAAGTGGAGCTTTCTGGTCCTGTGGCTGGCTCTGAGGCACCTCGGCCAGATATGAGAACCCGCCCACCTCCAGCTGGAGTCTCGCCTTTGTAGCTGGCCGGGTCCGTGGGGCCCCAGCCTCCAGCGCCGGCCTCTGGGTCTGAGAGGCCTCCTCATCTGAGTTTAAGCAGTGGAAGGCTGGGCCCCATGCCCGACCCTCTGCCCTCACTGTGTCTCTGGTCCACCCCGCAGACTAGCCAAGGCCCCGCCCCGGCGCGCCCTCAGCGTGGAGGACGTGGGTGTCCCCAGCCTGGCTCGCACTGTGGGCCGCGTGGTGGCGGTGTTCCCGGATGGCACAAGCTTGCTGCAGCTGCAGCGGTCCCCTGCGGGCACCTTCGGCTTTCGTGTGGGCTCCGGGAAGGGGCGCAGGGACTCAGGTACGCACCTCCCCTTCCTTCGTGGGCCCCTGCGGGTCTTCTGGGCAGCGGTCAGGCGTTGCCTGCTCCTTTGTCTGAGCCTGGCGCTTTTCAGATTCAGACAGCCCCTGAGCTACAGGGCCTCCCGGGGGAGCGCCTCTGGGTACCAGGGCCCCCGGAGTCGGCACTGTGACAGCCCTGGCAGGTTCAGCTCTAAGAGGTGCTGCCCGCTGCGGGGCCAGAGCCGGCAGGGTTGACTCCACTGTTCCTGCTGTCTGCTGGCATCCTGGGATCAGAACCTGCAAGGCCATCTTTCCGCGGCGAACCGGGAAACTGCCTGTGCTTGCGGCCTTAGCCCGCCTTTGATGTGGCTGACGCGCTGCAGTGGTTCCCTTCCTCCAGCTGCCGGTGTGTCTGGGCATGCGAGTGTGCCTGCCTGTCTGTGCGTCCGTCCACGCCCCGCCCCTGGCTGGGTCGCCTCCTGGGTCTTGGTTCAGCATCGGTGGGGCATGGAGCCGCTCTGGGCCTCCTTCCGCGTGCCCAGTAGTCCTGCCCATCCCTCCACGCGTCCTTCCGGACAACCTGATCTCCCGGACTTTACCCAACGTCTGTGATCCAGGATGCAGCGAGCGAGGCAGGCATGCTGGGGGAAGGGGTGGAGAGAAGAGACAGCCTAGGAGGACACAAAGGAGCCTGTTTGGCGGGGCTCTGCCAAGGAGGGGTTAGGCCGGTGCTTTGATCCCCTAGTCAGTTTTTTCTCCCAGAAAAGAAAGACCTGCCGTCACCACGCTTGCAGAACGCAGCCGGAGTTCTCCCTTCCGGTGCATATCTCATTGTTTCAGCAGATACATGCAGAGCACCTACAGACTGTCATGGCTTTGGGGGTCACAGAAGCACAGGAAATGGACAAATCCCTGACCTCCTGAGCACACACTCGAGGTTACGTCTGCAACAAGGTTACCTTACGTATGACGTCAGGTAGTGACGCGGAGAGTACTGAGGCAGACGCTAGTGCGGGCAGGCTTTCTCGAGAAGATGACACTTGAGTGGAGGTGGGGCTGGAGTGGGGAGGACCAAGAGGAGTGGGGAGGACCAAGAGGCTGTGGGAGAAGAGCCTTCCAGGCAGCGGAACAGCAGGCGCTAAGCCCTGAGCGGGGAATGAGGCTCGGCTGCCGGGGAGCTGCAAGGAGGTCGGGCTGGGAGATGGGCCGTACCACCCTGGGGTGCTGGGTGTCAGTCACCCGAGGATTTAGAGCAGATTCGTTGTGAGCAGGGTGGGGGTGGCTGAGTTAAAAACAGACCCTAGTGCGAAAAGGTAGACCGGGCAGACAGCTTTAAAGCTATTTCCTTATTTTAGGAGGGAGACGATGGCAGCTACGGATGTGGTGAGGAAGGGGTTGTGCAGGTAGCTTTGGCTGGGTTTGCTGAAGGACTGGACATGCACATGAGAAGACAGGTCTCCCCCACGCTGGACCTGCGCAGGGTAAAATGTCAGTCTTCACAGGGAGATGACATTTGCGGCGCACTCTCCGGTGTCGGAGAGGCCCTCCCAGGCTGACTGCTGGAAGTCAGTGAGGAAACAGCAAGTACTGCGCCACCTGTGTCCTGGGGGACCTTGAGCAGGTGACCAACCCCTCTGGCCTCAGCTCCCAAATCTGTAGAATGAGGACAACACCGCCCACCTGGAAGAGGCATGGAGAACATTTTACGAGGTTCAAAATGCAGTGCCTGGCTCTTCTTCCTCTCCCTTTTCAGAAGGAGAAGGTAAACTGAGCGGACAGTACTCGACAGGGCCCAGCATGATGGCCGTCGCATGTCAGCATGAGGGCAGACCCTACAGGGTGCTGCACCCTTCTCTCCCACCTCCCCAGTCGCTTGGGCGCCTCTGGAGGCAGTGGGAGCCCCTCCCCCACCTGCCATGGAGTTTTGGTGGGCGGGGTCTGAGGACCACGGGCTCCTGGGGCTCTGTCCTACCCCTGCTACCACAGTGCTCCTTGCTGGCTTGTCTTGCCCGGGTGAGGCCCTGCCGCTGCTGCTGTAGTTGGCAACTGACGTCATGCAGAGGTCCCCACGCGCACACAGAGTGAGCAGTTGCTGGTGCACCTCACCAGGACCCTCCCAGCACCTGGGGTCACATCTCCTGGGCCTCGGAGGGCGGTGAGCTGGGGCAGGTCTGGCTCCTTGGTGAAGTGTCAGGATGATGCTGTTAACTTGTTGGCTATCGTATTCTGTTTCCATATGAGCCCATGAGAACAGCAGGCTTTGCCTTCTGCTCCTAATTGGCCAGTGTATCCTCACAAAGACCACCTCCAGCAGATAATAAATGCCCACAGCAGACTGTCTGTCATATCTTTGTTATGACTGTCGGTTATGAAACCTACACAGGTCTCCCTAAAATGGCCAGTGATGTCAGTGTCTGGTCAGGCTCAGCTGCATTCTTTTGAGTTTTATCATTATCCCATCTGACTCTCCTGCTGCGCATCAGACACTTGTCAGGGTTCACTGGGTGCCCCCTCACCTCCCTCTCTCAGTGCCACCTGTGTAGGGACAGGGCAGGCAAGCTGCTACACCGCCTGAGAGAGGAGGGAAAAGGTGGGCCAAAGCCTGTGCAGCCAGGACGGAGACACACTTGGTCAGGGGACGTCAGCCTTAGCTTGGGTAAGAAGCTGTGAAAAGGAGTTGAGCACTCAGAGCAGGGAGAGGGAAAATCTATAAAGACTGGCTTTGCTAAACAGAGCTGAAGACCACTGGGTGCCTCTGTGAAGGAGGAGCAGACACCCATGCACTTGCAGACCTCTGAACCTGTCATGGTCAGAGCTGAACAGGGTGCCCTGAGGCCTGCTAGGCCAAGCAGGACTGCTCATGGGTCAAAGATGCAGAAAACGGTGTCAGGCCAGAGGCTGAGCAACCAGACCAGATAGCTTTCTGGGTCCCTGCAAAGCACTGAGCCTAGGAAAAGGCAGTGGGGCCAGACTGCATGGGTAGTTCTTCCTGTTTCTCAGGCAGAGCTGCCTGAGCCTGGGCAGGGCAGCAGTGAATGCTAAGCTGCCCCAGTGAATTCACTGGTGTTATCAGCTGCATGAAGGTCACCACAAAAGATCATCCTGTGCTATTCTCCAGCAGACCTAGCTGTGCCCTAGACCCCGAACATGGCAGTAGGCTCCAGTGCCGGGGAGACCCCGTGCTGCATTTAATTTCTCAGGTGGGTGCAGCTGACAGAATTTGAGAGTCAGCTCCAGCCCAGAGACCTGAAGGCGTCCCTGAGAAGCAGCCAGGGGACAGTTTCAGAGAAGCAGGCTCCCCCAGGGTCACTTGTACCTTCCAGACCAGGGACTAATCGGCTAGGCAGAGCTATTTCTAGGTGGTGGGGGGAGAAGAGTGAGCCACGGCTCTGAAGTGTTTTTCCCTAAGTGAGGCACTGTGCGTAAGACTGAGCCCCAGGTCAGTCCTGGACAGTACTGTAAGGCAAAGGATTTGGCCTCACCTGTTTTCCCTACCCCAGTGACATTGTCCCGCCCACCGCAGCCCTTGTGCTGTGCCTACTAGGTCTATTTATGAGTTCCACCTAGCAGGTACTTTTTCATTTTAAAAAAAACTTTCTTTTCTGCAATAAAAGGTCATCTCACAACAAGATGAGCTAATTTACAGGAGTACAGATGAATAGCACCACCTTCAAGCATTACTTGTACCAGGGGCATTTCTACTTAAAAAGAGGAGCAAAGAAATGAGGTCAGACCATGGAGGAGACACATTCTCTCTCTGTAGAAAGCCAGTTGTGGTTGTGATGTGGAATGATGGTGTGTGTGTGTGTGTGTGTGTGTGTGTGTGTGTGTGTGTGTGTGTGTGTGTGTGTAGCCATGCCCTGTTGAACACCCCTCCCACACACACACTCTGACTGGCATCTGCAGCACTGCAGGCTCTCACGTGGGTTTCCCTGCTGTTTTCTTGTTCCGCTTCACAGGGCTCTACGTGCAGGAGATGGCTGACCTGGATACTGCCAAGCTCTACTCTGGGCTGCTCGGGGTGGGGGATGAGATCCTGGAGGTGAACGGAGCCAAGGTTGCCGGCCTGGGCTTGGCTCACATCAAGGAGCTCCTGGCGCATTCAGAGAGCTTGTCAGTTCGAGTCTTGAGGCAAAGACCTGTCCTTCGGTGACCCAGAAATGCTGCTGCCTCTACTACCACCCCCTTAGGAGCCCTGAGCTGGCTGGGAATGTGCTATACAGAGCTACTCTGTGGACTGAAAACACAGATCGTGGCGGCATCGAGCCCCTCATGCTGTGGCAGGACTGCTGAGACCAACTGAGTACCCAGAGGATAGACAAGGAGCCTGTGAATGTATTCTGTTTAAGGCCATTACTTATGCAGAACAAGGAAAGAAAATACTGGTCTCTTTCCATACTAGAGATGGCGACATCTACTCGTCCCTTTGTGGGTGGAGGCTGGGGAGAGATTCAGGCAGTCCTTTGCTTGGCCTGGGAGAGCTGGCCTCACCTCCAGGTGCCACTCTTGAAAACACTCCAGACAGTGGATCCCTTGGCCCTGCACCCTGCCCTTTCACCCACATTTCTCCTCCCTCCCATTTGCCACCTTTGCTCTTCATCCAGAAAGGGGCAGGCGTCCCGGAGTAGCAGCCACACAGCCGGTGAGAACATACTCCAAACCAAACATCAGAATGCATGCTCTGACGAGAGTTGTATGACCCTTCTGGATGTGAGAACATCTGGGAGATGTTATCTGGTAGCCAGAATATTAAAAATTTCTAGGAAATTTTTATGGTATATAAAGTTAAAGGGGAAAAAAATGAAACCAAAGCCAGTTTCAGAGAGTGCAGCTGTGCTAGGTAGGATCTGGCTAGCAGGATGGTAGAACCCACTGGCCCCCCTTCCTCCCTCCACCCCTGCCCTGGGCCCTCCCCTCTGCCTCTGCCTGTAGGAGCTGCAGTTATGCAGCTTGGCCTGGGTCTTTGTTCTCCTGTCCAGCGTGGAGACAAGGCTGCAGCTGGTGTCTGGCTGTCCCCCAGCCGTAAGCTTCCTGTCCAGACCTCCCTGGTGGCAGCTGTGGGTGGGCAGGGAGGCAGCAGGGAGGCTCCAGAGAGCAGGCACTGGCCATCCTGCCCGGGTGCTTCCTGCTCTACACCTGGATACTGCCCAGAGGGTTGTGACTTTTCAAGTACATGGCTGTGTGTCTTAAATTATTAAAATGCAAAGCCGAAGCTTCTCCACTATGAGTTGTAAAATTCTGGGCTCAGTTGACCTTCAGCAGGGGCTGGAAGACACAAATACATTGGTGGGCATGCCAGAGGGGAAGGCTGGGGAGGCCCCAGCTGCAGGGTCACAGCTTGTTAGATGCAGAAGCCTCCAGAGAGTCCTGGGCTGGAAGAGGCGCCCTGGGCAAGGTTTATGGTGAGAGAATGAAACTAAGAGGCCTTGAGAGATGCAGCTGAAGAGAGGGACTCAGCTGTTTGGACCTCACCAGGGTACTGGCTGTGGTCAAAGCCAAAACATGAGCTTCAGCAGAACCTGGTTGAAAGGTGCATCCCAGGCAAGGAGGGTGCTGACACACGCATGTGGCTGAGGACAGGCGACGGTGGGGGAAGCAACGGTGGAGGTGCGGGGTGGTTTGTGTTCTCCCTGTCCAGGGCCTTGGCAGCAGGAGCCAGGAAACACCCCTGTCTCTCGTGCTCTGTAACTGGGCCAAGAGCCCGGAGCACACGGGATGGGAAGGTGGGAGCTGCCAAGGGCATGGGGGAGGGAGCAGGGAGGAAGGAACTGGAGCAGGTGGGCAGAGGGCCCAGAGCAGCAAGCAGTTGAGGCTTCAGGCTATGAAGCGGGTACTGGGTCACCTCAGAGACAAATCTCACACCCTGAAAGTATAGACATGGCCACAGCACGAAATTACAACTGTGAGCACACATGCCTCCTGCACTCAGATTCCTAGCCATAAGCTCATGAAATTTCACTTTGGGGGAAAAAAAAAAATTCAGGGCTAGGGGTTTATCTCAGTGGTGGAGTGCTTGCCTGGCTTATGCAAGGCCCTGGGTTCTGTCCCTAGCACTGAAGTAAAAGGGGGTCTCAAGGGCAAAAGACGCCTCTGTTTCCTGCCTGCCTTGCTACTGGAAGGAGGTGGGGGAAAGGCCAGGAAAAGGAGCTCTTGCAGCTGTCTGTGTCTACCAGGTGCTGGGCCAGGTCCTTTGAGGTAATCATGCCAGGCACTGCTGCCTATGACCTCCCTTTCAGGGTGAGAAACCAGGTTCAGCAACAATGTCAGGGAAACCAGTGCCTCCCCTCTGACTTGGGGGCCTCTCTTTCCACTGCTTCTCACTGCACACCCCCCAGCCTAAATGGAAGCGGGAGGGCACCCAGGGCCCTGGAGCTTCTGCTGGGTTTCTGAGGCACCAGCTTTGGTCTCAGCTTCCTCCTGGGCTAATGCTGGGACCTTGTGTGCTTGAGAGGGGCTTTCGGTCCTCCGGCTTTCTGCTGGACCTCTGCCACCTGCTCTGCCCAGGCAGCTGCTGACCTGGAAGTCCCCGCCCAGCTCCTCCCCACATACTGGACCATCCTAGAACCTGGCTTATGATGAGCCCAGGCAGGAGTATGCAGCTATGAGAAAGACCCACTCAACATGCGCAGCCCAGGGAGAGCCTCAGATGTCACCACACAGCTGAGCTGGACAGCAGGGGACCTAGTAGGTGTCGCCAGGTGTGGAGAGCCTGAGGGAGGAGATGGGGGTCTGAGGGAAGGGGTGTGCCCAAGTAGGGCTTTGTAAAGTGAGCAGGATGGCCAGCAAGGGGCACGCAGAGGTGTGTGTCTGCCCTGAAGGACCTTGTCCCTCCTGAGGCTCACATAAAATACCTGACATTTGAACCTCATGGAACAGAAAGAGGCACTGACGTTGGCCTCAGACATCCCAGTCAATCTCAGAGGACTGGGGATGGGGAGGGGACGGCTGAGGCGTGGCGGGGACGGGGGCGGTGACACAAACTTCTGAGGCACAGCCAGGCAGTCCCAAGCCAGTTCTGACCTCTTTGGGGTGCCTTTCCTGGGTTCCCCTGGCTAGCAGGACCTACCGTCCTTTGCTGCAATTACTGCCCCTAGGGGTCTGGGCACCGCTGGTTGGAGGGGTGGCGTGCTGGAGCCTGGGGCCTGACAGGGTCAGACTCTCACTTGTTTTGCACGCCCTTGCCTTTACACACACACACACACACACACACACACACACACACACTCTGCTGCGGGGGCGGAACTGGAATGCAGGAGCCCGCTTAGCCCGAGGCACGTTCTGTCTGGGCGAGGGAGGATGGGACATGCACAGCACGTGCCTTGGTGAAAGGCTGGAGGATTGGCTGCAGCTGGCCCAAGGGTTACAAAGGCTGTGGGGAGACCTCGGACCCCAGCGCCAGTGGAGCCTGGTGCAAGAATGAGTACCGGATGCATGCAGGGCCCGTGGCCTCAGGCAAGATGGGCAGCTCTAGGTACAGCCCAAAGTTTGAAAAGCGAAGTTAACCGGCATTCAGGGATGTGCAGTCCTGCCCGCTGCTCTGCATATATTCTAGAGATTTCGTAGTCTTTAAGGACACAATCCTGAATCCTTACAGCAATTGTGGAGGGGACACAGCACTTACCTCAGGCCACAAATGAGCTATGTGAGATGCAACTGATCCAAGATCACAACAGCAAAAAATAACAGAGGGAGGCAGGATTCAAACTAAGCCGTCTGTGACTCCGGGGCTGTGTCCTCCCACCTGGGGGGGGGGGCTCTGCGCCTCATCAGGACGACACACACCTGCTCCCTGCGGTGCACAGTGGGGGTCCTTCCTGCCCTCCCAGAGGCAGATCACTTCCCAGGGTAGTGTTTCCAAACCAAGCAATGTTGTGGGTGGAGACTGGCATTTTTAAAAAGGACTGGAAGAAAAAGCACCTGGGTAGAAAAGAATGCTTCGCACAAGGCAAGAGTAGGTTCTCCCCTGCCCTACACCCCTCCCTCTTTGAGGTGGTGTTGGTGGTGGTGGTAGTGAAACCTTCTTGGCTTGGCCCAGGAAAGAGCCCCTTGATCTGAGATCCCAGTCACCAAAAGGCCTGTGACCCAGGGATGGATGCACTTTCCGGTCCTCCAAACTGGCTGGAGGCAGGGGAATTCCCCCACCTGGGTATTTTTGGCAGGAATTCTGGTTGTTGGTCCCGATTCCACCACACCCCAACTCCACCCATCCATTCTCCTACCATTCCATGTGTTTGTGCATCTTTGCCAGAATGCCCTTCCCCTTGTCCACTACCCACGGCTTGGCAGCCTTCACAAAGATTAGAGGGCCTGGCCTGGGGGGCTTTCCGTAACACCTGCAGGCCCACTGGGGCCCCTCCCTTAGCTCCTACAGACTGGAGCCTCAGCCTCTTTGATTCTCTTCTGGGGAAATTGCTTGTTTATTCTCCATAAAACTTACTTGGCAACAACTGGATTTCCTCAGTCCATCTGCCTTACCTATTCCCCACTCCCAATCCTCACACTAGTTCTGGAGCTATTCAAAAGGCTCTGTTGTCACAGAAACCCATTTCCTCCCTCCTTCCCCTCCATCCTCTGTGAAGTTTCTCTTTCCTATAGAGCCAGAGCACCTGCTTAGAAATGGCAACAGCCTTCCTTGGCAAGAAGCTGTCCCCAGCTCTCCGGCTATGGGTCTGGCCAGGTTGGAGTGCTGGGACTGGCTCAGACACTCTGCCCACAGAGCCAGGGTTTAACAAACCCAGCTGCCCTGCCGGTCCGGAAGGAGACTCGGGCTGTCCTGTAGATGCAGGGTACATGCAGGGCCTGCCTTTGTCTCTTCCTGCAGTCTGGGCTCAGGCTCCTACTCACAGCGTGGAGCTGCCCCAAGGGCCCTGGCCAGGGGCCAGGCACAGGGGAGGAGGCTGCTCTGCCGTTGGGGTACCCACATCCTCAGGATGCAGGGAGCTACAGCTGCGGAAAATAAGACAAGTCAGGATACCAAGGGTACAGTGCCCCACCACCTGGGGAGCAGAAAGGCTTCCCAGAGGAGCTGGGCCCAGGCGCTGTGGTCTCCACGCTTACCAGGCTGCATGAAGCTCTGCAGCTAAAAGTACAAACGGAATGCTGGCAGTCGCGGGAGCTCATGGCAGCAATGAGAGGCCAGTCTGGTTCTCATGGAGGCACCTCAGACAGAATCTCCAGGCTTTACCGGGCTTATACAATACGTTTGGCCCATTTACTTTGTTCTAGCCAAACAAAAGCTCCAAGACATCTTAGCAGTGAGGCAGACCTGCCTGAGATCCTGGACCAGATTTCTTGACTCTACAGTGAGCTTAAAGGTCATGGTCAAGTCCAAGGCAACTATAGCCACGTTTCATCTGAGGCACCTCAGCTTTAATGCCCCCCACAACCCATTCAGCTGTTTTGACACCTCTTCCCCTCAGCTTTGCATTACTACTGTTTCTCACATTAGAAGCATTTGCTTGTCATCACTGAAATCAGAATGGCAACTTTTCCCTTAAGGGACGCTTCCTATGGTCCAGCTAGACCTGGGCTCAAGTTCGATTTCCCCACTTACTAGTTCTATCTTTTGGAAAACTTAATTGTTTTACATCTGTTTTCAAGTATAAAATGGGTTTCAACCGTTCTTCCCACAAGAGTTGTGAGAGCTGCTGAGTTCTTCCCAAAGGTCAGCACTTTTTTAAGGGGGTTCAAGGACTTGTTATAGTCTCCGTTCCCCACACTCTGGTCCCAAAAGAAACCCTATCCTGTGTGCTATATTGTTCATGGTCTGATTAGTTTGGGATTTAAGAATTCATGCAGCTTGCTCAACCAGAGAAAGCACAATTCATAATTCCAATCTTCCAGCAGCCATCAACACTCCCTACACCCAGGGACATGCATGTTGATTGGTGACTGCAGAAAGACAGGATCTGCGCTACAAAAACAGCTAAAAACACGCCAGATACAGTGGTATGCAATCACAGCACTCTGGGAGGCTGAAGCAGGAGGACCATAAGTTCAAGTCCAGTCTAGACAACTTAGAAAAACGCCATCTCAAAATGAAAAAGGGCTTTGGGATACAGCTCAGTGCAAAAGCCCAGAGTTCGAGCCCCAAAATAAGAGAAAGAAACGACAATAACAAAACACCCAGAACAACGTTCATAGTCTTCTCATTTTTCTTTAATACTGAATAGTACTCTTTCATAGTTGTAACACGATTTCAAGAGCAGAAGTAAGAAACATTAACTGATAGACTTTAAGGTGTAAAAATACCGTTTTTAAGGGTGGCCAGCTGAGTTTTTGTTTTGTTTTACATAAGTATTCTTTAAAAATTTTCCAGTTTGTGGTGTCATCCAACCTTAGGGTTACAATCAAAGCTGTGATGACATTTTGTCAGGGATTTTTTTTCCCTGTAGCCTGCAGTCCCAGATGCTGTAGCAGTGGTTCTCAAAGTCGAGTGTATGCTGACCTCCCTAGAGTGCTAGCCTCACCCCGACTGGAGAGGCCTGAGAATGTGCATTATGGACTAGTTCCCCAGGGATATGCATCACCACTGGTCCCACTCCACCCCTGGAGAATCACTGTCTAAAGGAAACAGAAATCTACCCATGAGGGTGGACAACTTCTGAGCCCAGGACTCTGGCTCCTTCTCACCATGTGAAAAACAAATGTCACCTAGAAGCCACCAGGTATCTAAAGTTCAATCCAGACACCTTCAGTGTGTGTCTTCCAGTTATCTGGAAGTTATGTATCCTTGGAAAACTATTTAATGCTTTGTTCCTGCTGAATTTTCCCATGTATTTCTGAATTACCCTAATTTCTGATTATAAATAAGCCAGAGAAAACATATTTCCAATTACAAAAACAGAATCCATCACCACTTACAGCTTGGTTCCTTTTGCTTGTTCCTACGTGGCTTCTAGGCCACCCCTCACCCTGGGCATCCACTCAAGTCTGAGAGCTGAGCCCAGCTGGGACCAGTTAGGAAGTAATCACAGGGAGCTCAAAAAGCCGTTCCAAAAACTTATTAGCAGGACCCCTGGCTGTCCTCTCCTTACTCACAGATGACAGAGCACAGACATCTGTTTTCCTGGGATGAAGACACGTGTTTCTCCCAGGGCAGCCCTTAGCAGCAGGGTCAGTCACACTTGCCTTCATGAGGAGGACCTCAGCTGAATCTACTTTCTGCTGAGCTGGAAAGATAGTCTTGAACATGGCACCGCCCCAGGTCTGACAAAAGCTTGGCTGGAGCAGGATGCAGAGCTGCTGGGAAGGGGTCCAAGAGATTCGGTCAACAAACAAGTTAGGTAGTCATACTTCTAACATCCCCTGAATAACCAAGTAGAGTCTGGTAACTCAAAACCTTAAAAAACAAATCTGTGAAATACACTTTCTCACGCAAGCCTATGCAGAACTGGTAATCTAGGTCCACGAAACATTCATGTGAAACCCAAGGAGCAGGATTGGCACTGGGGACCCTCAAAGTCTCAGCACAATGAACCTATCTGCACAAGCACAGGAAGGGCGCTTCTGGACAATGGTCACATTGGAAGGAAAATAGCACCAACATATTAGTTAAAGAAGAGGGAAACCAAGATCTTTTCTTTTTCCTCATCCTGCTCCCCCATCACCAAATCAGTAGAGACTGTGATGTATAAAGACCTCCCAGATACACCTAGATTGACAAAACCAGAGTTTAGTGATAATCTAAAAGGTTAAAAAAAATCACCAAGCCTTTTGTCACTGAGGTCAGCTCTAAGTGCCTTAACTTGTCTCAAATTATGTGGGCTCCAGATGACCCTGTCCAGAACGCAGCGCACTGACTCCCGTGCCCACTGGGGTGAGCTGTAATTGTTCCAAGAAGATATTGTGCTCAAGCACCCACATCCCTGAGTCTACCAGCAAGGTGACACCTACAGAGGTCCAATCTCTTTGAGCCCCCTGCCCCTTTCCGGGTCACCAAGCACTCACAGGAAGGTGTTCAGGGATGAAGGGTTGTTCTGCTGCACTCAAAACTCTCTTGCTTTTCTGGACTTAACACCAGAGAGCAGCTTCCCAGTAAGCATCACCAGGTTAACATGCGACAAGGCCCCCGTGTTTACACACAAAAGATCAGTGTGGCCTCGCATGGGAAAGACCTTTGTAAGTGTGAGTGTATTTTTTGAAGGTTGGAGCTTGAGTAACAGCAGGTGGTTAAACTTCCCCTACCTGGAAGCAAAGGTCCTTGGAGGAGCAAGTAGCTGTGTCCTGGTTGCCTACAAGGCCTCTCCTTATTGTCCTGAATTCCAGAACTGACCCTGGTGAAAGTGCAGACTGACAAGAGTGGGTAATAAATCTGGGAGACTTTTGATTTTACCTTTCTCCATTCTTGATGGGCAAAGGACATTCTTTTTTTTTTTTGATGCCGGGGATCGAACTCAGGACCTTGCACTTGCAAGGCAGGAGGCAGAACCACTGAGCTAAATCCCAGCCCAAAGAACATTCTTTTTAAACAAAAGAAAAATATATGCACTCTTGTAAACTTGGGAGGGCAGAAATGCCAGTGAGAGGAAGAGAGAGGGAAATGAGAGGTAGTGCGATTCGATATTTTAGAACATGCTTTCTGGGCAGTCTGGTCTTGTTTTGTTTACAGATTCATCCTATGGTACTAGATGAAGCCCAACAGTACAGTCTACAGAGTTGAAATGCAACTCACATTTATCATTCAATTCCATGATCTTCAAATGTTATGAATTCTTTAAAAAGGTAACAGGGAATAGATGTCCCTCTGGTCTCACTTTATAGCCAGGGAAATTACCGAAAGAAAAATCTTGGCTCCATCACCTTTACTCACAGAAGGTAAAACACTTAACAGAGACAGATTTTTGTTGGGTTAGACTAGATTTCTTTTCACAGCCCTTAATCGCACGAGGTGAGAAGGAGTGGAGGTTGCCAAGCTGTTGGCTACCAGACCCATCAGTCTGTCTAACTCTGGCTAACAGCAGAGAATAATGGGCAAGTTACCAAATTTACCCCCTCCAGCTCTGGCATGAATTCTAAAATTGTAGAAGAGCCGCATGTAACACCCCCCCCGCCACCACCCACACACGCTGTATCACACACTTCGATTCCATTTGCCACGCAGTCCAGAGCAGGCACAGAATTGTGATTTTTCACAGTCCTCACAAAGACCAAAAATTAGGACTAAGAACTGAAAGTATTTTGGTTTTCCGATTGGAATCACTCTCTGGCAAACTTTCTCAATAGTTCATTCCTATCTTATCCATCCCCAGATCAGTTAAGCAAAATGTTCTTCCAGTGAACATAAAGTGAGCTCTTTCTCTGTTACCCATCACATTCTGCCAGTTCTTTAAAATGATGAATAGGAAACTTGGTGCAGAAGACCCAGCTTCCAGCAGGAGGCACTTAAGCAGTGTGGGGATGAAGGGACCACTTAAGTTCCTTGGATCACTAAAGAAATATCTGTCCTTGAAAATAAATGCAGGTCCCCTGGCTTGTTCTCTCTGGCTGCCAGTTTGCAACCCCAACAGAGGACCTTCTGCAGGAACAGCCCAGCAAGGGCCCAGGAGGACCAGGCCAGAATAAATCAGCCAAAGGTAGGAACATGATGGCACACTACAGAGAACACCTGTATTTTAAGTTGATTTCATCTTTCTAAATGGTTCCCTATTCAGCTTATTTGTCAGGTCTACAGCAGTCAGTTTAGTAAATGCCTCATATCAGTGAGATCAGAATGATAATTCAAAACATATCAAAGAAAATGAAGGTCAGGGTCACAACACTTGATCCTTGAACTAATGGGAGTATCTTCATTAGTGACCAGGCTGTGCTCTCATCAGCCCTGACACACAATCTGATAAGAGCATGACAATAACATGGCTTTTAAATGGAGGACTCATAATTCTTTGAGATGCTAGCTGCTTCTTGTAAGGTGGAGTATGGATTATAGTACTTGGGGGGAAAAGCCGCGTTTATTTTTAGTGGAAGACTTCTACTATATTTTAATGCAAGGGATCATCTCTGGTCTAAATTTATAGAAGATTATTTGAACAGGTTTTAAAACTTTGTCTTAAAACATAAGTAATTCAGTATCCCTTTGAAGCCCTTTGTCATATTTTTTTCCTAATTTGAAAATAACTTGTTTAATATATCAAAAATTAGAGATGAATGTAAACATGGATGTCAACCCCTCTTTCCATTTTATAAATTTGCTTTTAGCTTTCATCAGCAGGCAAATTTCCTTACCTACAATGATCCTAAACAAGATAAAATATCCTTCTTTAAAAAATTGTTAGATATTTATTAAAAAGTGCAATTTAAAAGTTAGCCAGGCAAGCACACCATTGCAAATCATAAAAAGGGCAGGGGGGGGCCAAGAAAACAAAATCCCAAAACAAAACCACAAGAAATACAAACAAAACCAAAAAGTTGTTAAGAGACAGAAAAGTTAGTACGTTGAGGAATGCACAAAAAGACAAGAAAGTCAAAGCTTGAGCTCTATCCAGATGTTGCTATTCTTTCCAAGTGCAAACGGTGGTGAAGAGAGATTGAAAGCCTTCACCACCGAGTTCTGGCTCTGGATCCAACCACCACTTTATCAAATTATATATGAGGGAGGTTATAAAAAATATCCTATATATATGTGCACATTTGAGGCATGGCAAAAGTCATCAGAGACTTGAAGTTTTTAGTGTCTCAGCAGTCTCAGCTACTTAAGCTCAATTAAAGCATTTAACTTTAAATTTGGATTGGCTCAGTTATCTAAATGGGTGATAAAGTTGTCACCTTAAGGAAGAAAAGAATCAAGTTCTACAACCAAGTTGCCAGGATAAGTCCGGCCCAGGGGGCTGGTCTAGCCTTTTTGCATCATGAGGGTTTCCATGTAAATATAATAAATGTACTAACTTCTCCAAACCCATACCCCAGTGTATAGTGCGCCACAGGAATAAAGAAACGTCAAAGAGGACCCAGGGTCCCAGTTCATCCCAGCATGGTGCTGTGCTGTTTAACAACAAACTTAAAGGTCACTCTAAAACTGCAAGATGCATGTCTGGGGGAATCCCTCGGGCAGCAACATGGAGTCCTGAGCTCTGGCGACATCATCACCTCTTCCCTATGCTGTGCCAATCAATGCAGGTCCCTCTGCCCTTTTCAACTGTTCCTATCAAGCCACAAGCTGTTAGCATCCCTCAGCCCTAGGTGTTTCACTAGTTTCCATTAGTTATTCCTAACACACACACACACACACACACACACACACACACACACACACACACACATTGCACCTGGAAAAGCAATTTTATCTCAGAACTTATCCCTGAAAAATGAAACTCTGTATTTTCTGTCATAAACTGCTTCTAAACCTTTTGTCCTCATCAATAACCAGCTCTCAGGGACTATGAAATTCTACAGCAATGGGAAATGCAGCATACCCAGCAGCCACATTCTTAATGGGTTTCTTTCGATGGGACACCAGTGCCCATCTGGGCAGGGAAGGGTCTGAGCAGAAGAAAGAGCTGCCCTCGATGGAAGGATGAGCAATGGTGACACTGGTGGGCCTCCTCATTCTTCGGGATGACACAGTCCCTCCTCCGGGAACAAGGTCCAGCAAGGCAAAGCAGTAGCTGGCTGTCCTCAAACAGGACAGGTAGAGGGGCTTCTGTCATCTAGTCAGGAGTGTGGTCATCTTCTTCCTCTTCCTGTGGTCTTCCAGTGCTGGACGGAGGAGCTGTCTCAGATGTAGAGTCACACAGAGAAAAGTCTGCACGGGGCAGATTTCCTGGACAGGAATGTGAGTTGATGGAGTGTGCTGTTTCTCCTCCTCCCCTTGGTTCCTGGGCAGGAGGAACTGCAGTGGCAGCCGCCATCACAGCACTAGGAAGAGGATCAGCACAACCAACAGGACCACGAAGAGGATGGCTATGGCACACCACTGGCGCCGATCTGGAAGGAAGGATGTGAAGATTAGCCTTCTTGGGTATTCTACACTGCCCAAAACACAGGCATGGGATATGAGCACCTTTTAAACAGAAAAGGGTGCAAACAGGATCTGGAGCCTGCCTCCGTGCCTGGTACTCAAACACTGCTTTGCCATTTCCCTGAAAAGTGCTTCCCAGTAAGTGCAGGCTTTGAGTTCCCAGGTTTCATGGACCTTCGCTTTCTGTTGGTAGTTAGTGCATCCCTGGGAAAGCTGCTGGCACTGGAATTACTGATCAAAGCCCATATGCCTTTATCTCCCACCAAAGTCAAATCATTTAATTCAACATGATCTTGTTCTTTTCGCAGTGAACACTGCAAGTGGATAAAAAGAAGATGAAAGCAACTGCTGGTCATTTTAGGAAATGAACAGCTGAAAAAGCAAGCTCCAGTAAGAGCGCATGATTAATAATTTCACACTACATCTATTCAACTAAGAAGTAAGGTTCATTAACCACTAACTAACCACATTATAGTAATGTATAAGCACATCTATAAATGAAAGTACAATGTCTTTTCTCAAACTTTCTACCCTACCAACAACTTAGAAGAGCAGGAATAGGGCACAAAGTGACTGAAGTCCTTCTGAGTGTCCGGGAGCACGGAGGGCCCACAGGACAAAAGAGCCCACTCAAGCCAGGAATACCTGTGCTGGCCTGCAATCCTCCCTGTATTTCTAATGCTACAACTGCTACCTCACAGGGCTGTTGTGAGAATGAAACAACATAAACACAGCCACACACTTCAGTGCCCATGCTTGGGGTCCAAGGGACATTTCCCTACCTTGGGGAGAGGCAGAGAACAGTCTCTCCATAGGTTGAGTCCAATGTCTTCTACAGAGGGTCAGACTGATAAATACAGTGGACCCTTGATTTACGAACTTAGTTCATTCCCGAGGTCTGGTTGTAACTCAAGTTAGTCAATGAAGGCCCAAGCTCCTCTCCACAGCCTTCAAAGTCTCTCTCCTGTACATAGGCAGAGTTTAGTGTCCTTAGAGAGACACTGGCCCAGGATTTCTCAACTAAACCCACACTGGAAAAGAATACTGTAATAATACTTCCAGAACTCTTTAAGGGTTAAATCTGTATCTGAGACCATCTGAAAGCACAAGTGGCTGGCATTTAGGTCATAACTCAAGATTTTGGTTGTAAGTTAAAACTAAAATTCTGGTCATAACCCAAGTTGTTCCTATGTCAGGCTGGTCATTACTCGAGGGTCCACTGTAAAAGAATTTCACTAGCCTAGGAAAATGCAGTTCAACCATAAAGAATAAGAGTTCCATTTACACAGAAATGTAAAGGTTTATTAGAAAGCCAGCAGATTTTAATACAGTATAGCTTTGAGAATCACATTGTAAGAAGGATAAAACAGATTGCAAAACTTTCCACAAAGTAAAACATGTACTTAGAATTATGTTAAATATTGTGCATATAAAAATCTTAGAACTGGCCGAGATAACTGCCTCCAAATTAAAGCAAGTACCTACCACCTCCTTTCTGCTTTTGTGTGTGAGTGTGTGTGTGTATGTGTGTGTGGCACTGGGAATTAAACCCAGGGGCACTCTACTACTAAGCTACATCCCTGGCCCTTTTTATTTCTTATTTTAAGATAAGGTTTCATTAAGTTGCCCGGGCTGTCTTTGAACTTGCAATTCTCCTGCTCAGCCTGCCAAGTAGCTAGGATTAGGCATGCAACACCATACCCAGCTCACAAATACCTTCTTAAAAATGATCACCATCTCAGACGTGCCAGAAACTCACTTAGTAACTGTGCTTTGGACAAATATTTCAAGTCTATCCATTCCGTTTCTAAAGGTGGACTATTCCAAAGGGTGTGGAGAGACAGAGTTGGCTTATCACAGATATTTTTAACTTGCTTAACTCTCACTTCAGTGGTCCTAAAAACTTGTATATCTAGCATTCTTTCATCTCTTTAAAGACGCTGGACTTCCAGTTTCCAGTCTGACATGAAAAGAACTTCGAACTTATTACACTGTCCTAACAACTAAAACACCGAAAAATCAATTCTTAGATCCCTCAGAAAAGCGAAGTCCATGGTAGACTGCTGCTACTAATGATGGAGAAACTCACAGGAAAATGGAGAATCATAACTTAACCAAGACTAAACCCACCAACAACAACCTCCACCAAAACCAGGCATAGGTAGGAAAACTTGAAGTATAGTTGAGGAACACTGGAGGCTCAGTGCAGACATGGCTACCAGGGAGAGTATTATGGCTTGTGTCTAGATGTCCCCTGAAAGCCTCATGTGGTCATAGGTGGGGCTTTTTCAGAGGTAGCTCGATCTACTGTGAGGCTGGAATTGATTCTTAGTGCAATGCTAGGTTCAAGGGCACTAGAATTAAGGGCGGGAGTGCTACTTGCCCTAAGTAGTCTGGATAAGACAAGGGGGCAGAAAGATACTCTTTTTTTTTTAGAAAGATACTCTTAAGGAACTTGCTTGCTTGTTTTAGCTGCTTTCTGCATGTCATGAACTGGTTCTCCTCTGCAACGCCCCTCTGCCATGCCACCCTGCCTTGGAGCCAGCCAATTATGGACTAAAACCTCTCCAAGCTGAGCTAAATAAATCTTTCTTCTTTAACCTTGGGTGTCAGGTATTTTGTCTCAGCAATGAAAGGAAAGTAAGACAGTAAGTTAAAGGCGATCCACCACACTTCTATGAGTTTTACCTCCAGAGATTCAACTAGATGCTCTCAATGAATGTGGGGAAAAAATACTGTCTTGCTTCTGGAACTCAGAGGGGTAATAAACAATTCTGAAATAGGCTAGAGATTTTATCCCTAATAGTGCTCATCCTCTGGGAAAACTATTTTAAGAGAGCCTAACCTGCTGAGGTTTATCAGAGCCTAACATGGAAGATGGGAAAAAAAAATCAACTCCAGTACACTCTAACCATCTTGTTCCACCTTAATGACCTTGGGAGATTTTAAGACAGAACACAAAAGATACTATCCATAAAAGAGATACTTGATATTGGGATCTCATTAAAACTAGAAACTGGGCCAGGGATTTAGCTTAGTGGTTTCACCACCTGCCTTGCAAGCTCAAGGACCTGAGTTCAATCCCCTGTACCAAAAACAAACAAACAAACAAAAGACAAACTGAAAACTTCTGCTCTGGAAAAGACACTGTCAAGAGACTAAGACAAGGTAGAGACTGGGGTAAAATATTTGTGAAAGACAAATCTGATAAAATCCAAAATGTAAAAAGAACTTTTAAATTTTAACAATAAGAAAACAATCTGGTTCAAATTGAGGAAAAGATCTGAACAGATACCGTACCCAAAGGAGTTAATATAATGGCAAGTAGGCCTATGAAAAGATGTTCAATATCAGATGTCACTTAGGGAATTGGAAGTTCAGACAACAATGAGAAAACAGCAAGCCCCTATTCAAACGGCCAAAACTTCCAACACTGATGACACCAAATATAGGTAAGGAAGGTAAGCAACACAAACTCCTGGTTGAAATGCAAATTGGGGGTTTGGCTACTTTGGAAGAGTCTAGAAGACTAAACAGACTCTTACCATAACTACTAAGCAATCATGCTCCTTGTTATTTACTCAAATGAATTGTAAGCTTACCTCCACGCAAAGATCTGCACATGGATGTTTATAGCAGCTCTATTCCTAACTGCAAAAACTTGGAAATAACCAAGATGTCCTTGAGTAGGCAAATGGATAAATGCGATAGTGGCCTCCATCTACAGATTTGCTCTCCACAACTTCAGTTGCCTAAAGTCAACTGTGTTCTGAATATTAAATACAAAATTCCAGAAATCTTTCCCAATTTTTAATTTAATTTAATTTTATTTTTGGTTCTTTGAGTAGTTTAGGCTGGCTTTCAGCTTGCTGTGTGGCCCAGGCTGGTCTTGAACTCAATCAGTCTTCCTCCCTCAGTCTCCCAAGTGCCGGGATTACTGGAATGCGCCGCTACACCGGCTCAATCCTAAATTTTAAACTGTGCATTCTTCTGAGGAGAATGATGAAACTGCATTTTCTTCTACCTGTCCCATCTGAGGAAGTGAATCTTTTTGTCTAGCACATCTACACTGTATATGCTACTCCTCTTAGTCACCACGGCTCTTATTCACTTAATAGTTGTTTTGGTTTTCACATCAATGGCATTACAGTACATGTATTCAAGTAACCCTAATGCTGAGTCACAACTATCTAGTAATCCACTGGAGATCTTGAAACCCACAGATAAAGGGGAATGACTATAATCGGTGTTACATTCAGACAATGGATTATTCAGTGCTAAATAAATGAGCTGTCAGAGGCATGGAGAAAACCAACCTGAGAAAGCTCTATACTATATGATCCCCACTATATGCATGGTGGGAAAGGCAAACGTATGGAGATAGTAAGGATCTGTGGTTGCTGGGACAAGGAAGAAGGGTGAAAAGGGATAAAAATTAAAACCACAGTAGGGGGCCATAGATTTAGCTCAGTGGCACTGAGTCACTGAGTGCAAGGTACTGAGTTTGATCCCCAATACCAGGAAAAAAACTTTTTAAATAGAATTAAACAAACAAAACTATAGTAAGATACTACCTCACCCTGATGAGAATGACTATTATCAAAAAGACAAACAATAACAAACGTTGGGAATGTAAATTTGTATAGCCACTGTAAAAAACAGGAGGAGGTTCCTCAAAAAACTAAAAATAGAGCTACTATACAATCCAGAAACCCCACTCTGGATATACATTATACCCACAGGAAATGAAGTCAGCATGTTGAAAAGACATCTGTACTCCCACGAGTATTGAAGCACTGTTCACGACAGCCAGGACACGCAATCAACCTCAATGTCCACACAGTGAGTTTAAGGCCAACCTGAACTAAAAAGCAAGACCCTGTTTCAAAAAACCAAAAATAAAATAAAGTAAAATAAAAATAAAACTTAGGAAGGACTTCTGGAATTTCATATTTAATAGTCTCAGATCACAGTTGACTTTAGTCCTTAACTGACTCTGCAAGCTCAGGATCTGCCTCAAAGTCAGAGGAACAAAGAGAACTCCAGTAATAGCTTTTTTTTTTTTGGTACCGGGGATTGAACTCAGGTTCTTGCGCTTGCAAGGCAGGCCACCGAACCGCGGAGCTAAATCCCCTGCCCTATAGCGTTTTTTTTCTTTCTCAATATATTTTCCTCTCTTAAAGAAATAAAATAAACAGAATGTTGGAAAATGGGGGATCTCAGCATCACTCATAAGAATGCATTTTACAGGGTAGAAAAATGGTAAAATTAATGTCTCTCCTGGGTGATTCACAGCAGTGTAGTCTTTGCTGATTTCTCCCATGAAGCAGCCAGCCAGAGGGAGGGGAGGAAGGACTCTGCCCTTGAATAGCTGTGGTTGCACGTTCATTACTACTTAAGCAAACTCCAGTGTGTTTTCACATGCTTCCTTTATATATAGGTTTAACTGAAAATAGTGAATTTAACCAAAAGTTAAGAGTAGAGAACAAGGACAATTATAAATTGTTTGATTGAAAAACTGAAGCAGAGGCTGGCACCAAGAGGAGGCCTGTAAACAGTATTTCTTTTGGAAGCAAGTAAAGATAAAAATGAAAACACAGGTAACCTGTTCAAAATGAAGGGCCTTTCAGACTATTGGCTCTTTTTCTTGTACAAATATAACCAAAATTCTTACTTTGCTTCCCAAACTTTTCTTTTGGGAAAACATAGAATAAAGCATAAGCCAGCCTCAGTGCTTCTTACACACATGGAGGCACTTATTACAATGCAAGTACTTTATTCTAAATTATTCATACCCAGAAAGCTGGGAAACAAAGACACAGTGCATCTTTGTTCACTTGCTCTTCCCCAACAAAACCAGTGCTGAAGTAGCTACTTGACTTTGCAACTAATACATACAATGGTGAGAGGTCTGGTGTTTAAGCCGCTTATATAATACTTCATTACAACATTTTCTGTTTAAGTAGAAGGGTGGGGTGGAAGAGAATAGAGAGAACCAGAGAGAAGACTCTGTAAATCTTTCTGCAAGCCTCAGTGTGAGGACGAAGCTGGTCTCGCTTCCTATGCACGCACAGCTTCAGGCAAGGAAGTGCCTGTTAAGAGCATAAGGGTATTTGCCCATGGAGAAAAAGGAGGAAATAACTCCAGATATGAGCTTCCCTTTGCTTTGAATTTGATAAGTCCTTTGCCCCTTAGGACAATCTGTTGCCTCATGATATTTTTAAACATTTACTAAGTGCTAATATATGACAACACTGTTAAACACTTTTACATTATTATTTAATTTACTCCCACAATGACCTTGAAAGGTAGGAATTAGTCTGTTTTTGTCTTTTACAGAATTTTTAAAAATATTTACTAAATACTAATACATAGCAGACACTGTCATACACATTTACATTATTATATGATTTAATTTATACCTCCCTACAATCCAAAGAGGTAGAAATCTTTTTTTTTTCAGTGCTGGGGATGGGATCAAAGCTTAGGCCTTGTATGCACAAATGGGCTAGGGAAGGGCTCTATCACTTAGCCACACCTCTAGCCCTCAACCTCTTTTTCTAGGTAAGAAACTGAGTCCAAGAGAATTGTTATGTAACTTGGCCACGAGTCACACTGCTGAAAAGTAAACACCATATCGTACATGTCAGGGCTGGGGATTTAGCTCAGTGGTTCCACCACCTGCCTCACAAGGGCAAGGTCCCGAGTTCGATACCCAGTACACACACACAAACACACACACACCCAAAAAGTACAAGTAGGAGAAAACCAGCAGAAGAATGAGGTGTTAAGCAACAGGGAAGCCAAGAACACTTGAATACCTCCAGGAGTCTCAGTTCCTCCCTTCCACCAGGTAAGAGATAATGGATTTTCTTTTATTTAAATATATTATTTCTCATGCAATCAAGAGGTGGCTTGTAGTAATCAAAAAACACAAAACACATTTTGGAATACATCTAATTTGAAACCTGCTACTTTGTCATCCCCATCACATTTCACTGTGGCTTTAAATATTACAATTTAAACTAAATTTAAAAGGTCACCTTATTCTGAAATAGTAGACGTTTCTCTATCAATGAAAGAAGAACAGTTCAGGAGAAACACTAGCTGGCTTCTTAATTACTGCTGTAAGTAAATTCCCTATTTTGACAAGGAACTAGAAGAAAGGGGTGGGAGAAAAACCATTAAACACAGAGGGGGAACAAGGCTCTTTTCTCAAGTTATAGCCACATGTAGGAGTTAAGGACTCTACACATTCACCTTCCATTTTCTGATCCCAAAGTGTCTCAAACAGATGTCCCACAGGAAAGCGATCTGCAAGGTCACAACTGTGAGGAACCCTCACAGAGTTTCCATAATTGAGTGCAATCTCTCAAGATTTAAACATACATACCACTGGTCATGTGAGACACTTTCGCAAGTTTCTTCATCACATTGTCCAGACGAGACTGAGTACTCTCCAACTCATGAGAGAAATCATCCAGCATGCTAGAGAGGGAAACAGAAACAGAAGTCAGACAGTAAGCACAAGACCTGTGCAAAGCACTGGCCTGGCAATTCAATCAGTGTCTAGGCCTCCATTTTAGAAAACCTAAAACAGCAATACTGGGAGTCAGGACCCCAACTTATTATTTAAAATCCTTGGGACAAGACATGTTTTTAAGTTTGGAGTATTTTTAATAAGATAAGCTATATACACTTTATATTTGTCAATATCCTCAACAGGGCCTGGGACAGTCCTTTAATCAAACATATTTCTGCAGAGAAAACCACAACAAGTGATATTTAATCAGCTCAGGTGAGGTTTTCCTGTAACATGAGCTTGCTGCATATTTAAAAATTTGTATAAAAAAAGGGGGGGGAGGGGCCAGGGATTTAGCTCAGCGGTTCAGTGGCCTGCCTTGCAAGCGCAAGGACCCGAGTTCAATCTCTGGTACCAAAAAAATAAAAAAAATAAAAAAAAATAAAAATAAAAATTTGTAACTTGGAGAGCTTCCTAAATTTTTTTCTTTTCTTTTTTTGGGGGGTGGGGGGGTACTGGGTATCGGACTCCGGTCCTTGAGCTTGCAAGGCAGATGGTGGAACCACTGAGCTAAATCCCCCACCCTTCTTTTCTTTTCTCTTAAAGCAGAGAACTGAACCCAGGATTTTCACACCAAGCTATATCCCTATCCCTTTTTTATTTTGAGACAGGTGTTAAATTGCCCAGGCTGGCTTGAACTTGATAATTATCGGGGCTGGGGATTTAGCTCAGTGGTTCAGTGGCCTGCCTTGCAAGCGCAAGGACCCGAGGTCAATCTCTGGTACCAAAAAAATAAATAAATTAAAAAAAAATAAAAATAAAAATTTGTAACTTGGAGAGCTTCCTAAATTTTTTTCTTTTCTTTTTTTGGGGGGTGGGGGGGTACTGGGTATCGGACTCCGGTCCTTGAGCTTGCAAGGCAGATGGTGGAACCACTGAGCTAAATCCCCCACCCTTCTTTTCTTTTCTCTTAAAGCAGAGAACTGAACCCAGGATTTTCACACCAAGCTATATCCCTATCCCTTTTTTATTTTGAGACAGGTGTTAAATTGCCCAGGCTGGCTTGAACTTGTAGTCCTCCTGCCTCAACCTCCCAGAGTGCTGGGATTACAGGTGTGTGCCACCACCCAGCTGAGAGTTTCTAGAAATTGGACTCACAGGTGAGAGAGTGAGGACCTCCCTATACAATACTATAAACTCAGTGGCACAGCAGTGTGGTAGAAAGCAAGCTCTGTGAAGTCAGACAGCCAGGCTTTGGCCCTAGCAACCTTTCTACACCATGATAAGACACCCTACCACTCACTGTTTCCTCACCTGTAAAATGGGTATCCTACCAGCTCAACTGCCTTCACAGGGTGCTTCCGAAGGCCATGAAATATGCAAAAGCACTTCATGTCAATGTGAGTTAAGGAATGCAATTTGATCTGATCTGTTCTCCTTCAAAGCACTCTGTGCTTTATCATAATCAGAAAGAATGAGATCCCTGGTAGTGTGTGTGCACCTCCTCATCTGCTCACAGAGGGCCCCAGGAGACTTCTAGTACTTGCTGTCCAATGTGTGGTGGGGAAAAAACACTGAAATATCATACTCTTATTCCAGCAGTGTTTATTTCATAAATTACTGCACATTACAGACTTCTCAACTTTTGATTAATACATGATTGTTTTGAGGCTAAAATTAACACATCAATTAGTACTGTGGCTCTTACTACAAAGGCCTTATTAACTCTGACACTATCACTGGCAGCTAGAAACTATTGGTCTTGGTATGTGGTCCCAAAGGACACATGAGAGTACTGCACGATTTGTGGTGAACAGCTCCTCATTAAGCCAACTATTAAATAAAATCACATTGACAACTAAATAAGTAAGTCTTTGTGCCTTACCTGAGTTTGCAAATTAAAACATTTCAGTGCATCTGAGATCCTGGCAGCTTTCTGGCCCTGCAGCTGGCAAGCTTCCCCAGGCAGGGCCAAACACTGACAAACAAGAGCTACCTTTGTCTGCTGGGTATGGCTGTTCTTACTGCAGACAAAACAGGCACATCATTCAACCTTCAGCCAAGGATTCCCACTGACCAAGCTTCTAGCCCCATTCTAACTCAATGCCACCCAATACAAACAAAATGCAAGTCACACATGCCATTTTATATCTTCCAGTGGCCATTTTAAAAAAAATTAAAACAGGCAAAATTAATTTTAATACTCTACTTAGTCTAATACATACAAAATATTATCATTTCAACATGTAATCAATATTAAAAGTATCAATAAGCTGCCTTCCACTTTCTCACCTCAAAGCCCGGTGTGCACTTTGCTGTCAGGGCACATCTCTGAACTCAGACTGGCTACGGTCCACCTGCTCAACAGCTGCAGGTGGCCTGTGCTCTCATGCTGGACAGCACTGGGGCTAAGTCCCATACCCATGTATTTTCCTTTTAATTTACATTTTACCAGAGTTATATACACAACCACTTTAAAGAGACAAATGGCTGTCTGTATAAGCTTTTTTGAAAACTTGGTTGTTCTCTTTTGACTTTACTGACTCAGTGTTATCATAGCTTAGGATTTAGCCTTCTCTCCATTTGATTCCCACCACCTGATAACCACATGATGGTTTGATTAGATTAATATTCAGCATTTACACTTAACTACTGAATAAATGCTATTCACAGCTGTGTGGGGTTGTGACCACTGCTTCCTGGTGGCCTTCATGGATAGCAGGGGTTCAGCTTTCTCTGGCCTGTTGAGTCCATAACGGGTCATCTACCTGCTTCCTAAATCTAAAGTGTTATGACTGTTGTTTCTTATTTCATGCTGCATGACCCTATAGGTTTTATGCTTTGAAAAGAATTCCTTTGACATTTAGTGGATGTTAGAGGGGATGGAGATAAGGGGTGCATTCAACTGTCCATCTGTAACTGGAAGCCTGAGAGGCTTTCTCTATTATCATGCTGTCACACCAACAAAGTAGCCCAAACCATTAGTTTCCTTCCATTTCAACCAAAATTTTAGGGCCAGTAGCCACTGTAGCTAGAAATGAAAATCTTTGTGTCTAGATTCCTGCTGCTTCAGCATCCTACACCTACACTCCACTCTGGCACACATGTACATCACATACAGATGGGTCTTTCCAAAAACTATGATACCCTCCTCCCTAACATGACCTCCTCAGTCCCTCATCATGCTTAGAAGGAAAGTCTTGCCTCCTTATATGCTGACCTACCTCCCTATTTGGACTTTGCCATACCCCTGTCAATCCCCATCCTAAAGACACACATACTCCATTCACTTTTGCACCCAGATCTTCACAGGTGCTCTTTCTTCCTCCTGGTACACACTCCCTTGCCAGCTCCCTACACAAACACTGACTCTTGCCTCACTTGGCTGCCTTTACACATCCTGGAAGTTTCAGTTAAACCCTTCTTTCTCAGGGTACTTAGGCTAAGTCAAGGCCTTCCTGCTTTATTGTCATCATTTAATAACCTGCCTTCATTTATACAATGCTCATTTTACCACATTTTAGCAATGGCAAAGACAGTATCTATGCTGTTCACTCCTATCCCATAAGGTCTCCTTGAGTACCTAGTGTAGAACAGGAGCCCAGTAAGAATCTAGAGTGAATGAATGTACAGCAATGAACATAATACTATAACAGGAGAGTTTCTAAAATATCCTGGTGGATTGTCTTATTTTTTTTTTCTGGAAAATAATTTGTAAAATGGTAAAGATATCATGTGGTAGCATTTAAGAATGTTGTTTCTGGGCGGGGGATGTATCTCACTGGTACAGTGCCTGCCTGGCAAGCACGAGGCCCTGAGATCAATTCCTGGTACAAAAAATAAATAAATAAATAAAAATGTTTCTGCTACCATACTTTAATGCAAAAGACATTAATCTTAAGGAACTTAAAAAGTATGTTTCCTTATTTTTTTAAGAGGGAAGTTTTGCTGTTGTTGTTGTTGCTGCTGTTAACTGGAGTTCAATTTGTAAGTTTTTTCATAAAGTAGTAAGTTAAGATGACAAAAAAGTACTGTTCAGTATACCAGGAGTCCTGGAGACAGCTCCTAACACTACCTTTTGGATCTCCCTTCATCTAGTTCACCCTCTTCAGAACATATACAGGTTGCAGTCACATCTGTTTTATATTCCCATTCATAACTATGCTTCAAGTATCAGAGAAATTTGGGTCTGTTTTTGAGGTGTTTAAAAATAATAACCTCACAGGGGCCAAGGATTTAACTCAGTGACATCTCACCTGCCTCACAAGCACAAAGTCCAGAGTTTCATCCCCGGTACAAAAAAATAAAAAATGAAAATAACCTTACTTAAGCCCTGTCACAATTTTATCCAATAGATTTGCTTCATTTGGAGGCTAGTCTGTGCAACCGAATAAAAGTGCAGCTACAAATAAAATAGCTTTTGGTTTTACCAGCCATGTTAACTTCCAGGCCTTTTAGGGGTGGTTTTCCCTCCAATTTCACTGCAGCAAAAGGGGCGTCTCAATACTCACACTGCCTGTTCCTCTAGCTCCCCTCCGATGCGCTGGGACATGTTCTTCAGCACCCCAATGCTGCCAGAGACCAGCTCCAACTGCTCATCCTGCTGTTCCACAATCAACTGGTGCCAGAGAAATGGGAAATAAGCAATTAAAATCCATCTTACCTGGTTCCAAGCCCAGCACTGTAGCAGCTGCTAGTTTCTTTGCCAGCTTGGGACAATTCACATTCAGAAGCAAAGCCCAGAAATCAAAGGACCAGACCGTCGCCTCTGAGTACACGCTGCTCAAAAGGCTGGATTGTCAAACTACTGATATCTCCTGCTGATCCAAGTTGTGAACAGTCAGTGGGGCTTGAAATCACCAAGAGAGATTTACTCTGGTTGGCTGAGGGCCAATAAGGGGTCAGATAATAGCCAAAAGCACACATGTAGAAGACCACTGAATCAAGGGGCTATCTGGGAAGAAGCCCACTGCTAAGATCAAGGTCTCAATCCGCAACACACTGCCGCAGCTTAAATGCAAGAGAGCCTGGCAAATCTCTGATGTGAGAAAACTGTGCACACTGAGTCTTTTTCTTCCACCTAAAGGACAATCTGGAGGAGGGCCTGTGGCAATAGGTTACCTCAAGGACAACTACTGACTGGCAAACAAATATTGCCTTTTAATTGTGTTCCATCCCACCTACTTTCTATAAAAGAATTGGTTTTGTTAACAGCAATATGAGTAAACAACTGGTTATAAGCAGACATGCTAAGGGACCAGAACACATAACTTCCACAAATATTTACAAAACAATATTTAAAAACAGTCCTAATGGGCAGATGATCCTCAAATCCACACATATATTATCATTAGCTTCCTGCTACATATCAAAAGCAACAACACAGACATAACCAAGTTCACTTTCCTTCTACCTGTCAAACCTCCATCAAACAACTGTTTTTATGTGTAATGGAAAAAAAACTAACAATATGCATGAAAAAAGGGACTCTACCTTTCTCAAAGTGTCTTTGTTGAACAAAAAATCTAATATACAGATTAAAATGTAAGGTTTTGTTTTCTTTTCAAAAATCCTAGGCCTTGTCTGTTTGGATGTCTGTTTTGCTGTTTTTCCTGAGACGTAAGCAATCATGTTTCTCTCCAACATTCTGCTATAAAGTTTTTTTTGTTTTGTTTTTTGGTTTTTTTTTGGTACTAGGGATCGAACTTGTGTCCTTGCGCTTGCAAGGCAAGCAGCGGCACCACCGAGCTAAATCCCTGGCCCTTGTTTGATGTTTTTTGAGGAGCTGGCCCTCAAACCTAGGGTCTCACACGTGCTAAACTCTACCACTGAGCTATCTCCTCAGTCTTCTTTCTAAAATTTGGATACAGGTCTCACTAAGTTGTCCTTATGTCTGTCTCCCAAGTAACAAGGTTTAAAGGTGTGTACCATCATGCTCAGCGGTACTCTCCAGGTTTAAAACTCTTATATATAGCTGGGGATTTAGCTCAGTGGTTCTGCTACCTGCCTCGCAAATGTAAGGTCCCGAGTTCAATCCCCGATACACCCCCACCCAAAAAATCTTATATATAAATATACAATCATTACCCATTTGAAACAGTCAATCATAAGACAAGCTCTACTTTAACCTGCTTACCATTAGGCAACAAACGCTCTGACCGGCAGAAAGAACCAGGGCAGGGGTCCCACATCCACCTCCCATTCTTGGCTGGCTGTATTCTGGGTACCTGCTGTTGTGCCTGCTGCTCCTCAATGAAATGGGAATTGGCTAACTGCAGCTCTCGATCAAGGCGTCCATACTGATCTGTTGTTCCAGTGCTCCAGTTTTGGCTGCCACTGTCACCAAGCAGTGCCTGCATGAGTGAAGACGAAAAGAGTCAAGAGAAATAAGCAGGTACTGTCTCTGAATAAGTGACATATCAGGGTGACAGGAAAAGGCCAGACTTTCACATGTGGTACAATGTAAGGAATGCCAGGATAGGCCCTCTCTGTCTTCACCTTTCTATGAGACTCACACATGAGCTTTGTCCCCTGAAAATGCAAATAAATGTCTATGTTAAATCAATACATGTCCATCTTTATAAGGTGTCATAATGTAATGATAGTTTCTTAGAATAGCCCTTCCTAGCAACCAGGATCCAAAGGTCTAGTTAGACTGGTTCCACAGATTTGGAATCTATTATTTGTTTGTTTTTTTGAGACAGGGTCTCACTATGTAGTTGAAACTGACCTGGAACTCACTAGCCCAGGCTGGTCTCAAACTCAGCGATCCTCCTGCCTCGGCCTCCCAAGTGCTGCGATTACAGGCATGCGCCACCACACCTGGCCGAAATCTATTATTAAAGGATAACCCAGGGAAGTTTTGGGCTTTACGGGGGACTGGGGTGACCTCCGCAGAATGACAAGGTATGCTTCATACATAGAAAGCACAGAACCATCTGTTTGTTGGATTTAATGCCTATATAAAACTCAATGCCCTTGAACAGAAATGTAAGCTATGAATACCTGGGGGTTGCTTCCCAGGCAGGTATGAACACAAGGAAACCTGGCCCTGACAATCTGGGCATGTGCTGGCCCCAACAGGAGTCTCCAACAGGCCAGGTCAGGTGTCTCAAGCATTAATTCAAAGATGTATGTAGCCAGAAATGGAGTTTTGGAAGGTCTTCCTTACAGCCAAAGCAGGAATCTGAGTGCTCCATGGTGGTGGCTGGTTTGGACCAGGCTCCCACCTTATGACAGGTTAAACAGCTGTCAGACCAGCCCTGCATCAGGACTCACAGGAGCTACAACTAAGGTACTTGGGTACTTGTTCCTTTACTTGTACTAGGTCTTAAAAAAAAAAATCTCTGACATTATTAAAAGACTGACCATTCAATGGGTCCTGTCTGAAAACCCCTCCAACAGCCTCACATCCCTCCTCCACACCCACACGGCTTCCTCTTGACTTTCTGAGACAGATTCTGTCTAAAAGCCAGGCTTCTCAGATTATCAGAAGAGCTCCTAAGATGCTCCGTTACGAAAAGCATTTTTCAGAACATCTTTGAGAGGCCCAGGGCACCACTCAAGAGGACAGATGTGACTGTCTCTGGGGTGAAGCAGACTCAAGGCCTTTTGTGGTGGTTCTGTCCTGACCTGGTCTTAGGATTATCAAGACTGAAAAGATCTTGCTCATTGTGATCTGGCATTCTAGAAACCTCCACAGAGGACACTTGGAGCTTGTGATAATTTTTTCAGGGTCGTAAAAAAGGGTATGGTGTACTATTAGGCTGTGGACAGAGAACTGGGGCTCTATCAGTCTCCACAGTGAAGGCTATTTTTTCTACAACACCCATGATCTACATACACTACTTAGCATAGAGTAAATGTTGTTAAAAGTCATTTAGATATTATAAGTTAGACAGACAGACAGTTAGATGGACAAATTCTACCACCTTCCAGTTGGTTACCAAGCCTTTAACAAATGGCTTTTAGGGAACACTTTTGAAATCATAGCACCTGGTCAGCCTGCTAAACACTGCTGTCAACAGCTATGATGCTGTTTGCTTTAAATCACTTAATTCTAACCACATTCTGTTCAGATTCCAGAAAAGTTCCAATGATTCATTCAATAGCTTCTTAGCTTGAGAAATATCTCAATTAGTTTTTACTAACTTCAACTCAGTAGTTCATAGTATAAATCTTTATACCTATGGATGTTTACTGAACTACTTAATTTTGAAAATGAGTCTTCCAATATTTGAAGAAGTAGTCTACAAATGTCACCCAACTTTTCCATTTTCTTCTCCCTACATTTCATTTTTCAAATGTTTTGTTCTATTTTGTTCTTCATATCAAACTCCCTTGCTTTTGCTTTTTTTTCGTAACACTACAGCTAGGTCATTTCATCTGGCTCTAACTCTAAGAAGCTAGGGAATGGCCACAGCTGACTAGTTTTGCACTTGAGCATATATGAATTTCACTGACAATAACTGAAATAGTTGTGACAATGTAGTGGATAATGCCTGTCCTGTTACTCTTAATGTGAATGTTTTATTCTCTAGATAGTGTACATGACATAGCATGAGTAAAGTGAGTCTATGCACTGAATTCCCAAGTACAGCTTGAAATCTTATTTTAGGGCATGAGTGAAATGACATAGAGCCTCAAATTTAAGAAATGGTTCTCCAGGTGCTCAAGTGAGCAGAGTCAGCCTTAGTGCTAGGTACATAGTACTATGCTGCTCCAGCTTCTCCAGCACTTTCTCTGCTCCCCCACCCCACCCCAAGGGTCATCTTCCAGTGTTTGGCGCCCTCTCCATCTTTTTTCCCAACAGAACATATTCCTGAGGGTCAGACTGATGAACACAAAGAGCCGTCTCTGTTGACACACTTGCCAAGTCGCCCCAGCAAAAGTTTAACAAATTATCAGCATAAATACAACAGCAAAGTTCACATTAGCATGTCAAGCGCAAACTTTTACCTCTCAATAAAAAGCTGTTTGTATCACTAAAAACTGTTACTCAATTTTGTATTTGTTATTTTTTCTAAACTAAAACCTCAACTTTCCTAAGAAGGCAAAGGAAAAAATATGATAAGAAATAAATGGAAACAAAGGCTTTGCAAAGCGGGATGGGGGGTGAGGGGCTTTGAAGGGATGGCAGGGGAAGGGGGAATAATAAGAACCAAGATACATCATGTAAAGGTACAGGCTCCCAATGATGAATGTAAATGTACTGTATACCTAAAATGTACCAATAAAAGAATTTAAGAGGAAATAAATAAATATATAAATGAAACTTCGTATTCAGGTGTAATTGCAGTGTTGGCACTTGGCAATAAACAAGTGGGTTTTGGGCTACAGTTTGGGCACTCAGTCTCTAAATGGTTTGCCATCACTGACCTAGTGGGAGGTTTTCTGGTCACTGGGGACATGCCTCTAAGGGGACACTGGGACCCCAATCCCGTCGTCTTCCTTTATCGTTCACATCCACAGTCATGAGATGAATAGTCTTGCCATTGTGCTGCTGCCATGCTGTCTTGTCACAGGTCCAAAAGCAATGGGGACAACCAATCATGGAGTGCAACTTCTAAAACTGTGAACCAAAATAACTTTTTTCTCTTTATATGCTAATTATCTCATGTATTTGTTACAGTAACAAAATGCAGATTAACACACTAGACTTTCACAAAATCAGCCCGTGCCACTCCAGGTTCAGCATGCACAGGTCTTGTTTTTGATCATATGATACCTGGTTGACCAGCATCTTAAATATCCCAGCATGCATTTCCTTTGGCTGATTATTTTCTCACCTGTCTATTTTTCCTTTCCGCTAATGCCTGCACAGATGAAGTTGACATCTGATCCTTCATGTCCTAATGAAACATACAAAAAACCAGAAAACAAATCAAAAACACTTTAAAAGACAATCATGATTAATATTTCAAATTTAGCAAAATTAATATTATTTTTTAAATGAAAAGATATTACTTGGCTTTTATTTCAGTCTTAAAAATAAAGGAAATAAAAAATAAAGACCTTTCCTGAAAAATAGGTAATCTAAATTTAAACAGAAAGAAAGAAGGAAACATTGAAGAGCTCTAGGTCCAGAAAAATAATGATAACTTCCTCAAAGTCACACAGCCAGTAAATGGCATCCATTTGGTAGAAATGCAAAAGCCTGTGCTCATGGGCTAGCATGCTCTTCAAAACACACATTAAAAACAAGCCAGACATGGTGGCGCACGCCTGTAATCCCAGCACTCGGGAGGTAGAGGCAGGAGGATTGCTATGAGTTCAGGACCAGCCTGGGCTACATAGTGAGTTCCAGGTCAGTCTCAACTATGTAGTGTCTCACCCACATAAAAGACCATGTACTTTATTTAGTACATCCCCCTATTTCATTTTGAAGTTGCATTCAAGCATCATAGACTATTTAATTGAGTGAATTTCCAGTGTGGTTATCAAGAACAATGTTATTGTGAAAAGAAAAGTGAATGGACCTATTACTTAATCTCAAGCAAAATATTTTATTGAATACAAGCCATTTTGTTTATCACATTTACCACAATCCAACACATTGTAAAATGATGCAAAATAAATATGTGATGACTAAAAACAATTATTTTTTTCTTAGGCAGAAAAAAAGTCTGTCAAGATACTTTATAATTTTTATTGGCATATAGACTTTTTTTTTTTTTTTTGGTACTGGAGATTGAACTCAGGCCCTTGTGCTTCCAAGGCAGCGGAACCACTGAGCTAAATCCCCGGCCCAGAATATAGACTTTTTATTGATGCAAATGTTAAGGAATTTGATTTTTAGAAACGCCCTCCAAGACCCATTACAAGGGGATAGTAGATCAGACAATGCCAAGTTTTTTTTTTTAATTCTCACTGTGGTCTAAATAATAAATAATTTCAAAATACTCATTCATTCAGCAAATACTGATGTCTAATATATGCCAAGCATGAAGCACTAAGTGATACAAATTAAGACCCTCTTACAGCTCACATGATTTATCTGAGTTAGATACTTGAGATATTGTTAAAAATACAGTTCTTTGGGCCCAATCCAGACCTACTAAATCAGAATCCTTAGGCAGCATTTTAACAAGTCTCTCCGGTGAGTCTTAAAGACTGAAACTTGAGAACCTCAGGTCTATACAAATTCTAAAAGCTTCAAAGAGACAACAATGGTTTTATCAGTACCTCCTGGTCTGCAGAATTCCCTTTCTAGTAAATTAAGAGTTTAAGAAAACATTCTTATATTCAAACAATCCCATTAAAACATTTGAAGTGTTTACTAGGGGAATAATATATGCTTTTTAAAATGTACAGTACTCTGTTCACTTTAGTGTTTTTTTAAAAAAACAAAAGAACATATTACCTGCATGATAAAAATATCAATATGTATATGGAAAAGTGACAACTCAGCTTTCAAGCATCATATATGGAATGTGATTCTGAGTGTCAGAAGTTACAATGGTGTGGGTGAAGGTAATGACTGCAACATAGCACAAAGAAGCTTCTGGGGGTGTGGGTAATGTTCCTGGGTACTGCTTGGTTGGGTGTGTCCAGCTGATTAATGCAAGAAGCTGTGTAATTCCAATATGTGAATTTTTCTGTACTGTTATACTTCAAAAGAAAAAGGTTAAAAAAAATACTACCAAACCATGACTGTAAATCCACATAATGTAGTATGATATGGTAGACACTACCCTCATGCAAAGAAGCACCAACCCATAAGGGATGTTTTCCCCAATTAGACTAAGAAAGATGAAAAAGATTGAAAATATTTAGTGTTGGTTATTAAGAAATACAGAATCTGTTATTAGAAATAAAATCTTATGTGCAGGGCCTGGGAAAGAGGACAGGGGAGAAGGGAGAAGGGAAAGGGGAGACGGGGGAGAGGAGAGGAAGGAAGGCAGTCTTTATGTAGATACAGTATTTTGGAAATATTTAGTAATGTTTAACACGTGTATTCTCATTGAATTCTTTATTATGTAACTAGGTTATGTTCATATAGTTACTGACATGGATTGCAAATGCTAAAAATTAACAATAATTAAAATATCTACTGGTAGGTCAGTAATTAAAATAGTTTAGAAAAGAGGTTAAGAGCATGATCTTTTGTGTCAGAGTTGGGTTCAAGACTCAGTAATAGGTCAAGCATGGTAGCACACACTTGAAATCTCAGGACTCTGGGAGGCTATCGCAGAAGGACCACAAATTTGAGCCCAAGCTGGGAAACACGGGGACTTAGCAAGAGTCTGACTCAAAATAAAAAATAACAAGGGGTAAAAATAAAGGGATATAGCTCAATGCACAGCTCCCTATAATCAAAAAATAGTAATACTTTTTAATAATTGTCTTGTTAGAGGCAAATTAACCAATTTCTCTGTACAGTATTTTGGATAGTATCTTACAGGGTCAGTGTAGGATTAAAAGAGATAATATATGAAGCGTGACTAAGAGTGGCCTATAATACAATAATCGATACTAAGTAAACATATTATCATCACCTAAAAGTATTCAATCATGAAAAAGGATCCCCGATCATCAAGGTCTGCTACTGCTCAATACAGTAACTATTAGCCAACTGTAGTTATAGAGTGCTAGAAATGGGGTCAGTATAACCGAGGAAATTAATTAACTGAAACTTAAATTGAATTTGTGAATCTATTCTTTTATAAACTCTACATACAGAGTAAGTGCTTCGAAATTTCACATCTGAATTGAAATGTGCTTAAGTGTAAAATATATGCCAGATTTAGCAGTCTTGGTACAAAAAGTTATAATATAACAAAAAACCTTTCATCAATATTTCTTTGATTACATGTTTAAATGATAATCTTTCCAATATATGAGGATAAGTAAATTTTGTTCACTTGTTCCTTTTTTTGTTTGTTTGTTTGTTTTTTTGAGACAGGGTTTCACTATGTAGTTGAGAATGACCTGGAACTCACTATGTAGCCCAGGCTGGTCTCAAACTCACAGAGATCCTCCTGCCTCAGCCTCCTGAGTGCAGGGATTACAGGCGCGCACCACCATGCCCGGCCCTTTTTACTTTTTAATGTGACTATTAGAAATAACCTGGGCTGGGGATTTAGCTCAGTGGTTCTACCACCCACTTTTCAAGTGCAAGGTCTCGAGTTCAATCCCCAGTCCAAAAAAAAAAAGGAAATAACCTGGCAAGTACAAGGACCTGAGTACAATCCCCAGTGACCCCCCCCCATAAAGAAAATGCTTATGGCTGAATAAGCAATCACAACTGAGTAAAAACATAACCACAGAGGAAAATGACTAAGAGGAAATACAAAGCTATTCTGTTTTATTTTGAATTTGTTTCTTTTTCTATTCTGGCCCCTTGTAAAATTCTTGTAATTTTCTTTAGTGAACATATATTGCTTTAATGAAGTACATATTTTTTAAAATTCTAGTTTTTAGTTTTCTGTTCAATAAAAATATTCGGGGTGCATTCCCTAAGGCAGTAAATTCTGTACTAGCTGTGTGGTAGGCATCCTGCACATGAATCTAGGTAAAGAGCTCTGGCTTTCACTTCTAAAATAGCATTTTGTCTATATAGGTTAAAGTCACCAGATATCATACAACAGATCACCTTCATGTTGGGATGTGAAATTTTAAGCTGTGTTACTAAACAGTTTTCAACATTTTGTAACAATCTATCATGCCAAAAATGTAATTACTCATCTTCTTCCTAACACATGAAGTTTAGAACTAGCAGTCAAGAAGCAGTTAGTCCCAATAAAATATGGTTCATCTGCCAAAAAAAACAACAAATGTCCTGGTTATTTATGTTCCTATTTCCATTTCACGCTATCTTCCAAGCTGAATGGAGACATAAATCTCTGGGCTTCCTGCTTACAGGCCTCACATCCCAGCATCATCTGTGCATACACTGGGTATCTTACCCTTTTGGATTAAGCAAAGCCATTCCTGTCATGACTCATAAATGACTGTAAACAATTCTTGGGTTGGAACAGGTTGGTTTTTTTGTGGGGGGATATTAGCTCTGATTCCTTTTATAAGTTAAAATACAGTTAGAGAATATTAGTGAGGATGGTATCACTGATAAAACTGTGATCTGGAGAGGCTGACTGACTTGTGATTAAAATTTATTATGGTAACAGCTTGGCCTAGAACTTATATTGCTCGACCCTTTATTCATTCTTTTGCCAAACCATAAAAATTTCATATGTGAAATCTCTTGATGTATGTGACTCCACAAATGTAAAAATGATTACCTCCAAAAATATGAATGCTATTTTCATAAAAACTAGACCATTTTGCTTCCTTTATTAATTTCTTTTGTGTGCTGGGGACTAAATCCAATACACATGCTCGGGAAGTGCTCTACCACTGAGCTACATCCCCCAGGCTGAAGATTTTGCTTTCTTCAGTAACAACTACCAGTAAAGTATAATAAAACTTCAAAGTTTAAGAGATGCTTGAAAAACGTACACAATAAGATTCTTCATACAAATCTGCTCAGTTGAATGCAGTAAGGCAACTCAATGGAATGAGGTTTCAAAAAAAACTTTTTAAACTGAACATGGTGACACATGCCTGTAATCTCAGCACTTGGGAGGCTGAGGCAGGAGGATCACTTAGAGTTTGAGGCCAGCCTGGGCTACATAGTGAGTTCAATACCAGCCTGAACTACACAGTAATACCTTGTCTCAAAAAACAAAAAATAAAATAAACTTTTAATCAAGCTAGTATCATTGTTAGTTCCTTTTTTCTACAGGACTTACAGTTAGAATTTATTAAAATCAAGCCGGGCGTGGTAGCTCACACCTGTAATCCCAGCACTTGGGAGGCTAAGGCAGGAAGATCGCTGTGAGTTCGAGATCAGCCTGGGCTACATAGTAAGTTCCAGGTCAGACTCAACTACACAGAGAAACCCTGTCTCAAAAAACCAAAAAAGTAAAACTAATAATAATTCATTGAAATCAAATCAGCAAAGCTCAACTAGGTAGTATTACTCCATTACTGGCAAATACTTAACAGCTTCCACAAACAGGGTTGCAAATTAAAACAAGAATGAATAAAAACCCTAATCAGTTGGATCACATAACTGGATATGGTTTAGATCTTAACTCTAGAAGGACAGTAACATTTTGAAGTAATTATGTGATTTGATCTAGAGTACTGCTAAGCTTTCCAAATATTACTAAATGAAGAGAAAGGCTTTTTTTTTTTTTTTTTTTTTTTTTT